GTGAGTGCTGGATGATAGGTGTGTGTGTGTGTGTGCTGGATGATGGGTGTCTGAGTGCTGGATGATGGGTGTGTGTGTGTGAGTGCTGGATGATGGGTGTGTGTGAGTGCTGGATGATAGGTGTGTGTGTGTGTGTGCTGGATGATGGGTGTGTGAGTGCTGGATGATGGGTGTGTGTGTGGGGGGAAGCATTTTTTACTTTATGTATAATTTGTATTTATCCCCCCTCCCTGCTTCTTACCTTGTCAGGGAGGGGGGGAGATCGCCTGGTGGTCCGGTGGAGGGAGGCAGCCAGCTTTAACTCTCGCGAGACTCGCCTGTGCGGAGCGTTGCCATGGTAACAGCCGCGGGTCTCGCGAGAGTTAGAGCTGGAGGGGGAACACAGCGTGTGATGGCCCCTCTGTGCAGGTAGCAGGGCCGGTCCTGCAGGATCACTAGCGGGAACGGCGTTCCTGCTTTGGAAAAAGTGCAGGAACGCCGTTCCCATTCGTTCCTGCAGGACTCGAGCCCTGCAGCAATCTGTGATATACACTGTCAGTAAAACTCACAGCAATCTGTGATATACACTGCCAGCAAAACTCACAGCAATCTGTGATATACACTGTCAGTAAAACTCATAAAACTCACAGCAATCTGTGATATACACTGTCAGTAAAACTCACAGAAATCTGTGATATACACTGTCAGTAAAACTCACAGCAACCTGTGTTATACACTGTCAGTAAAGCTCACAGCAATCTGTGATATACACTGTCAGTAAAACTCACAGCAATCTGTGATATACACTGTCAGCAAAACTCACAGCAATCTGTGATATACACTGTCAGTAAAACTCACAGCAATCTGTGATATACACCGTCAGTAAAGCTCACAGTAATCTGTGATATACACTGTCAGTAAAGCTCACAGCAATCTGTGATATACACTGCCAGCAAAACTCACAGCAATCTGTGATATACACTGCCAGCAAAACTCACAGCAATCTGTGATATACACTGCCAGCAAAACTCACAGCAATCTGTGATATACACCGTCAGTAAAGCTCACAGTAACCTGTGATATACACTGTCAGTAAAACTCACAGCAATCTGTGATATACACTGTCAGCAAAACTCACAGCAATCTGTGATATACACCGTCAGTAAAGCTCACAGTAACCTGTGATATACACTGTCAGTAAAACTCACAGCAATCTGTGATATACACTGTCAGCAAAACTCACAGCAATCTGTAATATACACTGTCAGTAAAACTCACAGCAATCTGTGATATACACCGTCAGTAAAGCTCACAGTAATCTGTGATATACACTGTCAGTAAAGCTCACAGCAATCTGTGATATACGCTGTCAGTAAAACTCACAGCAATCTGTGATATACACTGTCAGTAAAACTCACAGCAATCTGTGATATACACTGCCAGCAAAACTCACAGCAATCTGTGATATACACTGTCAGCCAAACTCATAAAACTCACAGCAATCTGTGATATACGCTGTCAGCAAAACTCACAGCAACCTGTGATATACACTGTCAGTAAAACTCACAGCAACCTGTGATATACACTGTCAGTAAAACTCACAGCAATCTGTGATATACACTGTCAGTAAAACTCACAGCAACCTGTGATATACACTGTCAGTAAAACTCACAGCAATCTGTGATATACACTGCCAGCAAAACTCACAGCAATCTGTGATATACGCTGTCAGTAAAACTCACAGCAATCTGTGATATACACTGTCAGCAAAACTAAATCTGTGATATACGCTGTCAGTAGAATTCACAGCAATCTGTGATATACACTGTCAGTAAAACTCACAGCAACCTGTGATATACACTGTCAGTAAAACTCACAGCAATCTGTGATATACACTGTCAGTAAAACTCACAGCAATCTGTGATATACACTGCCAGCAAAACTCACAGCAATCTGTGATATACGCTGTCAGTAAAACTCACAGCAATCTGTGATATACACTGCCAGCAAAACTAAATCTGTGATATACGCTGTCAGGAAAACTCACAGCAATCTGTAATATACACTGTCAGTAAAACTCACAGCAATCTGTGATATACACTGTCAGTAAAACAGCAATCTGTGATATACACTGTCAGTATCTGTCACAGATATACACTGTCAGTAAAACTCACAGCAATCTGTGATATACGCTGTCAGTAAAACTCACAGCAATCTGTGATATACGCTGCCAGCAAAACTCACAGCAATCTGTGATATACACTGTCAGTAAAACTCACATCAATCTGTGATATACACTGTCAGTAAAACTCACAGCAATCTGTGATATACACTGTCAGTAAAACTCACAGCAATCTGTGATATACGCTGCCAGTAAAACTCACAGCAATCTGTGATATACACTGTCAGTAAAACTCACAGCAATCTGTGATATACACTGCCAGCAAAACTCACAGCAATCTGTGATATACGCTGTCAGTAAAACTCACAGCAATCTGTGATATACACTGCCAGCAAAACTAAATCTGTGATATACGCTGTCAGGAAAACTCACAGCAATCTGTAATATACACTGTCAGTAAAACTCACAGCAATCTGTGATATACACTGTCAGTAAAACTCACATCAATCTGTGATATACACTGTCAGTAAAACTCACAGTAATCTGTGATATACGCTGTCAGTAAAACTCACAGCAATCTGTGATATACGCTGCCAGTAAAACTCACAGCAATCTGTGATATACGCTGTCAGTATAACTCACAGCAACCTGTGATATACACTGTCAGTAGAACTCACATCAATCTGTGATATACGCTGTCAGTAAAACTCACAGCAATCTGTGATATACACTGCCAGCAAAACTCACAGCAATCTGTGATATACGCTGTCAGTAAAACTCACAGCAATCTGTGATATACACTGTCAGTAAAACTCACAGCAATCTGTGATATACACTGTCAGTAAAACTCACAGCAATCTGTGATATACACTGTCAGTAAAACTCACAGCAATCTGTGATATACGCTGTCAGTAAAACTCAGTAATCTGTAATATAGTAGTAGTGTGCTGTGTGTGTGTGTGAGGGTGCTGTTAGTGTGCTGTGTGTGTGAGGGTGAGGTGTGAGAATTTGTTTGGAGTGATTGTGTGTTGGGTGGGGGTGGAGGGGCAGATTAAGAAAGGTAAGAATAATCCCCCCTCCCTTCTTACCTTTTGCCTGGGAGGGGGGGGTCCTTGCTTCCACCCCTGATCCCTGGTGTTCTTAGTGGTGAGAATGAATATATAACACTGTATTCTAGCATACTGTATCACACTGGATTATAGCACTCTGTATCATTTCAGTGTAGTTTAGTGCAGTGTAGTTTAGTTTAATGCAGTGTAGTTTAGTGTAGTTTAATGCAGTTTAATGTAGTGTAGTTTAGTGCAGTTAAATGCAGTGTATTTTTGTGCAGTGTAGTTCAGTGTAGTTTAGTTTAATGCAGTGTAGTTTAGTAGTGCAGTGTCATTTAGTGCAGGGTAGTTTAGTGCAGTTTAATGCAGCTTTTCTCATTAACGCGATGATTTTGCAATCTATGGTTTCTTAACTTATAATATGAATTTCCAGATCCCTGGTCATACTTTGTCGGCTGGTTTACATCTGCACTCGGGGGCTATTTCAGATCCCCTCATTCGGCCAATTCTCAGGGACAAACAGCAGATACTCGGGCCAGGAAGATACCACCCCCAGGCTCTTTTAACAGAGATAACAAAGATTTACAAGAAATTTTGCAACAGAGTAAACTTTAGTCTTTTCTGCTTTCTTTTCATTTAATAGGGAGGGACTGTGAGATGAAAGGGCATTTATTTAAGAAGAGGGGGAGGTTGTTGTGAGGGCTGGAGGAGGGTGTGAGGACTGCATATACTCTACGCTTTGCACTGTTTGTGTCACTGATCCATCTGTCCACCATGGCCCCCATCTTTCTGCTGCTCCAGGCTGTGGTAGGGGCTTTCCTATTCCTGTACTTTCCAGGTAAGCTATCCTTCTAAACATAATATATCGGGGACTGGGCATACAATAATGGGGGGCTGTAACATTATATATCAGGGACTAGGCATACGATAATGGGGGGCTGTAACATTATATATCGGGGACTGGGCATACGATAATGGGGGGCTGTAACATTATATATCGGGGACTGGGCATACGATAATGGGGGGCTGTAACATTATATATCGGGGACTGGGCATACGATAATGGGGGGCTGTAACATTATATATCGGGGACTGGGCATACGATAATGGGGGGCTGTAACATTATATATCGGGGACTGGGCATACGATAATGGGGGGCTGTAACATTATATATCGGGGACTGGGCATACGATAATGGGGGGCTGTAACATTATATATCGGGGACTGGGCATACGATAATGGGGGGCTGTAACATTATATATCGGGGACTGGGCATACGATAATGGGGGGCTGTAACATTATATATCGGGGACTGGGCATACGATAATCGGGGGCTGTAACATTATATGTCGGGGACTGGGCATCCTATAAGGGGGGCTGTAACATTATATGTCAGAGACTGGGCATCCTATAATGGGGGACTGTAACATTATGTATAGGGTACTGGGCATCCGATAATGGGGGGCTGTAACATTATGTATAGGGTACTGGGCATCCGATAATGGGGGGCTGTAACATTATGTATAGGGTACTGGGCATCCGATAAGGGGGGGCTGTAACATATATCGGGGACTGGGCATCCTATAATGGGGGCTGTAACATTATGTATAAGGGACTGGGCATCCTATAATGGGGGGCTGTAACATTATATATCGGGGACTGGGCATCCGATAATGGGGGGCTGTAACATTATATATCGGGGACTGGGCATCCGATAATGGGGAGCTGTAACATTATATATCGGGGACTGGGCATCCGATAATGGGGGGCTGTAACATAATATATTGGTGACTTGGCATTGTATAATGGGGTGCTGAGAACTCATGGTGTGAGTGAACGAGATCCCCCCAGGTTTCAGTGTAGAGAACAGATCACAGGATCATTTGACCACGTTATAGAAAGACATTAATCAGTAACAGACCGACCTTCCGGGAAGTGTTTGGCTGAGGTGGTCAGTGACAAGCTGGGAGACATGAAGTCCAGATACCTATCAGTTTCACATCGCCAACATTCTACCAAAAGAAAGGCTTAGCGGCACTAGAACTTACACTTACTGTCTGTAATACTACTCCAGGAGGGACTTAACCCTGGGTTTACAAACAAACAAAGTTGTGTAGGCACTTCCATTAAAAACAGTAAATGGATAACCAATGGGTGTAATAAAGGTGTACTTCCCTACCACCGCAGAATAATATCCAACAAAATACAATTCCAATTTTAAATGAAACAGTAATACAAGGAAAGAAAGATAGTTGTGTAGGCGCTTCCAATGTATCCGTCGGGAGCCGAAACACGTCTGCAGCTTGTTGATGCAAGGAATTCACGGAGGACTTTTGCGGGTGACTCTTTATATTTCCTGCCTTTGCTTATTATTTTTGTGGAGGTTTCCATCTTTAACCTTAGGCTTGTTTATGCGCTAATTATATGTGTCCTTGAGTTTCTTTGTGTATTTTTTTTTTTTTATAATTGTTTTGTAATTTTTGTATTTATAAATATATAAATGTTTGAACGCTTGCTGTGATCCGGTGTTCCTGTTGGAGACACACATTCATAGACTGAATTGGCACCCTTGAGCTGTTTGTATAGAGCCTGGCACGGCTCGACCTTTGTGAGTTCTATTCTTCCCTCATAATCTGAATTGACTGTATTTTTACAGATTGCATGGCAGATATTTGTTTTCTGATCTTCCAGATGTGATTATTACTCTTGTAACCCAGTATTTAAGTATATATTATGTGCTTATTACAGGTGGAATTATTCTGTATTTTTAAACCTGGGTTCCCAGTTGTAAGGCAGTGTCATCAAGCAGTGACGTGGTGAGGCAGTGAAGTTGTGAGGCAGTGACGTGGTGAAGCAGTGATGTTATAAGGCAGTGAAGGGTGAGGCAGTGATGTGGTGAGGCAGTGACGTGGTGAGGCAGTGACGTGAGGCAGTGACACGGTGAGGCAGTGACATTGTAAGGTAGTGACGTGGTGAGGCAGTGACATGGTGAGGCAGGGATGTGGTGAGGCAGTGACGTTGTGAGGCAGTGACGAGGTGAGGCAGCGACATTGTAAAGTAGTGACGTGGTGATTTAGTGACGGGGTGAAGCAGTGATGTGGTGAGGCATGGACGTGGTGAGGCAGTGACGGGGTGAGGCAGTGACGGGGTAAGTTAGTGACGTGGTGAGGCAGGGATGTGGTGAGGCAGTGACATTGTAAGGTAGTGATGTGGTGAGTGTAACGGATCACCTGGCACCCCGACTGGGTACCTCCGTTGAAGGATGCTCCTAGTGCTTACAGAGGACTTCAGGCGCTCCGCAGACACCACAACCACTGCAGACCCCACGAACTGCCGCAGCTTGGTTGGGGTCTCGCCGTCTCCTACCCACCCTGGACCTATGACAAGGCTCCAGGCTCCAGTGGGTGAACCTCTCCTCCAAGAGAGGGAAACAGGAACAAGCTCTTAAAAGATCTTTGAAGTGATTATCCAAGGGAGCATGCAGAGCATAGCAATCCCTTGCAGTGATATAGCAATTCCCCCAATAAGAGACAGGATTGAGGGTGAAGAAGAACTCTGGTTTAATGACACACACTCTGCTTTTATGCAATTCTCCCATGCAAGGGAGGCGCCCACAGACAATTATACAATAACCAATCACACAATGGTTACATCCCACACATCTCCTCCCCTTACCCTGAGAGGTAACCCAATTATCCGTACATTTTAAAACATACTTTTTACCCAACTTTCATAACTCTAAAACCATACATACAATATTAATAAAAGTCACATATTATTAATCAGCACATTCCAAATACAAACATACCCAAAAATCATTTGAATCCGTTCAGCCGTTCGGGAGATACATATAAGTCACTTTTGACCGACCGCAAGCACATTTTAAAGGACCACTCTAGGCACCCAGACCACTTCAGTTTAATGAAGTGGTCTGTGTGCCAGGTCCAGCTAGGGTTAACCCATTTTTTTATAAACATTGTAAAGTAGTGACGTGGTAAGGTAGTGAGGTGGTGAGGCAGGGACCTGGTAAGGCAGTGATGTGGTGAGGCAGGGACCTGGTGAGGCAGTGACGTTACCTCTGCTCTAACCAGCTGATAAAAGCGATTTAAAGGAACATCTTTTGTCTTTATCGCAGAGTCGGAAGCCGTCCTGTGCTATGAGAACTCTGACCAGGGGGTAGGAACATGCCCCGATGACGCTTACCTTGGGGATGGAGTGACAGACATCGAATGCTGCTGGAACATTAAATACAGTTATAAAACGGACGCTACTTCGCCATGCCAGGCCTGCCGGTGAGTCAGGATCAGTCTTACAAGGTTTCATTAGAACCAGGACTGCCTTGTTTGTAAAGTGGTCACTGATATGATTGGGCTCACTACATATATTTTATGGATTAAAGATTAACAATTCTTTGGGTTGTTGAATGTTTTTTGTTTCTTAAAATATTACAGCTCTCCACAGGGAGAACCAAGCTTCTTAATGGTTACCAGGAAATCATAGCAATCTCATATTTCAGCCCCAAACTCACTCATATCTCAACTGTCTGTTACAGCCCTGCTAAGTGGAGTGCCTGGAGTGAGTGGAGTCCATGCACAGTGTCATGTAAAGAAGGGATTGAAATAAGACGTCGATCCTGCATAGGGCAGGGGGATTGTGACGGGGATGCCATCGAGGTCCAAGCATGCAGCCTCCAATCTTGCTGTCCAGGTGAGATCTGCAGAACGATGAGTGGAGGATTATGTGGAAAACAGTGGAATCATTGTCAGTGGAGTTTCACACTGAAGCACTATGAGTGCTTACTGCACAAAGAGACCCTATGTCTGTGCACTCATCACTTTCTTTACATTTCTCTCATATCTCTCTCCTCCCGTCCCCCAACATCTATCTCCTCCCATCCCCCCACATCTCTCTCCTCCCCTCCATATATCTCCTCCCGTCCCCCATATCTCTCTCCTCAACGACCAAACACCACTCCCTGCGTTCATGCATACAAGATTTCTGCCACCTCATGGTCGTTCATACGAATTGCGGCCACCCAGACGAACAATTAGATTACTGCGTTGAAACTCGTTACAAGGTGTCAGTTGGGCTTAACAAGTACACGGGTGGTCTCTGGTTCGTGCAGTTGTTCAGTTTCCGAAGAACATAATCCCAAATCACACGAACAGAGCCTTTTAAAGTGTATTTTGCAGGGCTTATAGTCCTGAGGCAGGAGGCTGGAAAGCAGGCTCCTCCAGGCGCCCGTGGCGAGATTAACCTCGCCACACCCCATATCTCTCTCCTCCAGTCTCTCATATTTCTCTCTCCTCCAGTCCCTCATATCTCTCTCTCCTCCAGTCCCTCATATCTCTCTCTCCTCCCATCCCTCCTATCTCTCTCTCCTACCATCCCTCCTATCTCTCTCTCCTACCATCCCTCCTATCTCTCTCTCCTACCATCCCTCCTATCTCTCTCCTCCCGTCCCACCATATCTCTCTCCTCCCATCCCTCATATCTCTCTCCTCCTATCCCCCATATCTCTCTCTCCTCCGTCCCTCAGCTGTCTCTCTCCTCCCCTCCCTCATATTTCTCTCTCCTTCCGTCCCACCATAGCTCTCTCTCCTCCTGTCCCACCCTATCACTCTATTTCCGTACCACCATATCTTTCTCCTCCTGTCCCATCAAATCTCTCTCAACTCCTGTCCCACCAAATCTCTCTCAACTCCTGTCCTTCATATCTCTCTCCTCCCATCCCACCATATCTCTTTTCCCTCCCACCATATCACTCTCCTCCTGTCCTCCCATGTCTCTCTCCTCCCGTCCCACCATATCTCTCACCCCTGTCCCTCATATCTCTCTCCTACCATCACACCATATTTCTCTTTTCCTGTCCCACCCTCTCTCTCTCCTCCTGTCTCACCAAATCTCTCTCTCTTTCTGTCCCTCATATCTCTCTCCTTCCATCCTACCATATCTCTCCTCCCATCCCATCATATCTCTCTCCTCTCCTCCCATCCCACCATATCTCTATCCCCTCCCACCATATCACTCTCGTCCTGTCCTCCCATGTCTCTCTCCTCCCGTCCCACCATAACTCTCACCCCTGTCCCTCATATCTCTCTCCTACCATCACACCATATTTCTCTTTTCCTGTCCCACCCTCTCTCTCTCCTCCTGTCTCACCAAATCTCTCTCTCTTTCTGTCCCTCATATCTCTCTCCTTCCATCCCACTATATCTCTCCTCCCATCCCATCATATCTCCCTCCTCCTATCCCACCATATCTCTCTCCTCCCGTCCCACCATATCTCTCTCCTCCCGTCCCACCATATCGCTCTCCTCCCGTCCCACCATATCGCTCTACTCCCGTCCCACCATATCGCTCTACTCCCGTCCCACCATATCGCTCTACTCCCGTCCCACCATATCTCTTTCTCTTCCCATCCCACCATATCACTATTCTTCCGTCACTTGTTACCCTTTTGTCATTTTGCTCAGAGAATGGTGGTTGGTCGGGGTGGTCTTCGTGGTCACAGTGCTCCGTCACTTGTGAACGGGGGACAATGGAGAGGACAAGGGAATGTAATAACCCCCCACCTGAATGCGGAGGTACTTGCCCTGGAACTAAGAAGGAAGTAGCGCCATGTGATACTCAACAAATCTGCCCCAGTAAGTGCTCACTCATAGTTGTAGCATAGGGGGCTTAGAATACACTAATATACACTGATCAACATACAGGGATAACCTGGATTCATAGACAGGATTAGTCTACTAATTTTCACGGGGAAAATATACCCTCACATTCTGGGGTTTATCCCAATGCATCCAATAATATAAAGTACATTTATCTAACGTGGATAGATGTCTGGAGTATCCCTTTGAAGGGTTTATATTATTAAAGGGTACACTCCAGGCTCCCACACACGTTAGGTGCACTGTGTAAGTTAGGTTACAGTTAGTTATACTGGGTGGATTTATATTATTAAAGGGACACTCCAGGCTCCCACACACGTTAGGTGCACTGTGTAGGTTAGGTTACAGTTAGTTATACTGGGTGGGTTTATATTATTAAAGGGACACTCCAGGCTCCCACACACGTTAGATGCACTGTGTAGGTTAGGTTACAGTTAGTTATACTGGGTGGGTTTATATTATTAAAGGGACACTCCAGGCTCCCACACACGTTAGATGCACTGTGTAGGTTAGGTTACAGTTAGTTATACTGGGTGGGTTTATATTATTAAAGGGACACTCCAGGCTCCCACACATGCTAAATGCATTGTTTAGGTTAGGTTACAGTTAGTTATACTGGGTGGGTTTATATTATTAAAGGGACACTCCAGGTTCCCACACACATTAGATGCACTGTGTAGGTAGGTTACAGTTATACCGGGTGGGTTGTTATCAGTGTCCTGGATGACAGTGCATTTAACTATGGTCTTTCTCTCTCAGCTCATGGTTCCTGGGGAAGCTGGGGTTCTTGGGGTGCCTGTTCTGGTGCTTGTATCACAGAGGGCTCTGCGATTTTTCCTAACCAAGTGCGTCAGAGATCATGTAACAACCCTACTCCTTCGACCAATCCTCCTGGAAATCCATGCACAGGGGACAAGCAGGAAATTCAAGACTGTAAGACCCTTCCATTCTGTCCAGGTAAGAAACAGACACATCTTCCTGCTGTATAAGGAATCTGGTTTTCAGTTCGAAGTTCTGTTTAATTAATGAAACCCTGACATGTAAAGTGTTTTCCTGGCTAATCATGGCAGCATATACACATGGGTTAGCTCCTCCCCTACAGCCAATAGGACAGGAAAACCACCAAGGTTTTAAAAGGAGGCTCCATCCCTAAGGTCCTCAGTCTTTTTCCTGTCCTACAGCCCTTAGGACGTGAGCAATTTGCTCCCTTTACTTATGGACATGTATGTTGTTTTATCTTCATTACTTTATTTTCTGTGTTACTGTAGTACATTATGCAGTTATGCTTTTATGCTGTGATGCATTTAAGCTTTGATATCTTTAACCCCTTAAGGACCAAACTTGTGGAATAAAAAGGGAACCATGACATGTCACAGGTGTCCTTAAGAGGTTAAACTAGTGCATTATACATCTGTACCTTATTTTTAAGATTGTGGTACATAACGCGGTTGTGCTTTTACTAGGAAGCATTTAAGCTGTTGCATTTAAAACTGTTTTCATTTAAAGTTGCATGTAATACCGCAAGTCATTGACGACTGCAGTGCTTTTGAAGACTGCAGTTTGTTTGAAAACTGTGATACATTTTGGAAACTGTGATACATTTTGAAAACTGTGATACATTTTGGAAACTGTGATACATTTTGAAAACTGTGATACATTTTGGAAGCTGTGATACATTTTGGAAACTGTGATACATTTTGGAAACTGTGATACATTTTGGAAACTGTGATACATTTTGTGTGTTACCTTTTATACCTTGCGGCCTTTAGACTGTGGTGCCTTTAAAATTGATTTTTTGCTCCTGGTTTCCTTTTAAACTTCCTTGCAGGCACTTTTTTAATCTATGTTGCTTCCCCTCGGTCCCAGTGATTTATTCCTGGTTCCCTGGGTGTTTAGGGGCCATGTAGGCTTCAGACAGAGTCCTCTCCCTGGTCTCTAACAGCAAACACACTCGGAATAGGCCCACATGTGTGCAGTTTGTGCCTTATTGGGCCTAATACAGAGGACTTGCATTGTGGGAATACAAGTTGTGGCAGCCATCTTGGATAAGGGCAATTGCCAGAAAGTGCCTAAAATAAAGGGAAAATTACAGTAAACATACACTTATTGGGTAAGTATTGGCAGGGTCTCCAGACATGGATAAGTGCTGTCTTCAGCCTGTTTTAAAGCTGTTTCGCTGGTTTCTTATAGAATTTAACAGTGCACATTTTTTCTTAATACTTTACCACAGGTAATATTTAGTTATTATTTGTCAGGTGTCTGATTCTTCACCAGGATCTGGATATGAGGAGAATACAGTGGAAGGAATCGGTTATGCACTGACTGCCTCCAGAAGGTTGTCGCTTCAGCATGACCTATCACTGTGCAGCCACATGACATGCGGGCAGGGCTTACAAAGTAAGTTCCAGAGGCCTTAGGGGTAAGAAAAGAGGCCAGGCTTTACCCTGTGGAGGAAGTTATTTCCAACCCCAGAACTACACCACCTAAGTTGCACACTTATGGATCATAGGTGGACGCAGACCTGTCCAAAATTTTACGCCTACCATTGCAGGAGGCCAGCCAGCTGTGATTTCTGCTGCTGTTTCTACAAACATGAGTTATGTGATTAAAGATCTAAAGGCTACTATGAAGAGAGATATTAAAGGCCAAGATTGAAGAGGCAGTCTGAAGTCTTCTGGTTACAACTGACTTCTTCACAGAAACTTCCCTAGATGTAACTAGGATAGTCTGTGGATCAAATGGCTTTATCTATAGCAGCTAAGAAAGCATTATGGTTCTGTTTCTGGGATGATGACTCATCCTCAAAGTCTGCCCTCTACACCATTCTATTTGAAGGGGTGGTGCTGTTTGGGGAATAATTCCATTGAAAAGGCGAATGAGGGCTGCAAAATATTGGTACCTTAGGATGGAAGTTCCAAGGATCCCAGCTCCTCATAGTCTGACCGGAGAACCTCCAGTGACCAGTATTTCTGAGATACATGAAGCTACTGGCCCTGCGGGGAATACTCCAGAGGTAACTCATGGCAGTTGGTAAACCTGCCTTTCAAGGTTCTAATGTAGCTATAACGCAGTTGTTTTGCTCTTCAGCAATGAACATATCTCTTCCATTACTAGGAGCCTCATTTTTCTGATTACACATACCTGGGCTTGTCATACTCTGGAGGCTTGAGTGTTATCCATGGCCCAGATTGATATAGACTGGAGTTTTTTCTTAACAGGCACGGGCCTCCATACCAACAGGAGCATTAAGACCAATGAATCAAAAGGTAAAGCACTGAAGGAAGAAGCCTTCTTGACAAAGAGGTGATTTTTTTTTAGGTCCCAGAACAAGAGCAGTTCCAGGGACAAGTTTCAACCCCTCTTCTGGTGCTAAGAGGAAAAGCACATGAAAGTCTACACTGGATCTAAGAGGGGCCAACAAGAGGCTGAATGTTAGTCTTCAGGATGGAGTCAATCAGATCCATATCTCAAGCAATCTGGAAGGATAATTGCCTTACCTCTATATATCTCAAGGATGCTTACTTTCAGTCCAATCTGCAGAGATCTTCGGCATTAGCTCAGAAGAGAACTTCCATGTTAGTGCCCTACCATTTGGCCTCAATGCGGCCCCAAGAATCTTTCTATGTGCTTATAGTGTTATTGAGAGTCCAGAACTCCACCTGGTTCCATTATCTGGAGGATCTACTTGTGATAGCCTTAGACCCTCAGAAGGCAGGCACACATAGGTATATAGTTCTTTCATAACTCCTAAAGTTTGGCTGCTTGATGAATATCAAGAAAAGCAGTTTCAGACCAGCTCAGTGATTGACATTCCTGAGTTGAAAATTCTAGACTCTGCTTTTCCCTATCTCGGGAACAGTTCCACAGATTTTAAAGGTTTTCTCTCACAGTTTCTTCATTTCTGCTTGGTAACAGCAAGAAAATAGATGCAACTACTAGGAATCCGGGCTTCCACCAGCAGACTTGTCAGAGGGGCCCAATGGCATCTCTGGATTCCTTACAGATCCTTCCTATCTTGGTCTAACAAGAGAGAGATTATTGGAGCCAGCCACTTACTATGTCCTCATCAGTGGAGTTGCACCTTACCCTGGCTGCTGAAAGAGGGATTGGATCTCTGAGTTTCCAGTGAACAGAACCTCATTGGTCAATTATTAGCTCGAATTCCAGTTTTTATAAGATTGGTTGCACAGTGTTTGGACCATGTTGCACAATATTTCCATTCATTTGTATGGAATTAAGAGTCATTTTCTAGGCTCTTCTTCACTTCAGAGGCTTGCTGAAGAACGAGTGGGTCCAAATTTGCTCAAATTTCAATGCAACTGTATCCTATATCTACCAAGATGGGTATCACAGATACGTATTGATGGAATTCCAGCCCATAATGATCAGGGCACAGAAGAACAACCAGTGGCTCAGAATACCATGGCTGTTTGCTGGAGCCGAATAACTGTGCCAAGGTGGATTGGCAACCATGTCCTTACGGATCCTCGTGGTTGACGCAGATTGTTTGATGGCCATTTCTTGAAACTACCAGGTCCAGAAGTATTTTTTACATGCTAGGACCAGAATGCTCAGGTTCAGGATACACTGGCTCAAATTTAGAATTTTAGTATGATGTACATATTTTCCTGTTTTCAACTTTCTTAAAAAGGCAATGCAAGAGGTGACAGTGGAAGACCGTGTCGACTCTAATTCCTATGATGAATAAGATGATTCTGGAACCTCCAAGGGAAATTCCTGTACGTCCAGACCTATTACAAGGCCCCATGACACACCAGGATCCTCAAGTTCTGGTGTTGATGCGGGAGTCCATATTAGTATAGGCATCCCTGAGACGGTCATTGAGATCCTCTTACAATCCTATACAGGCTTTACTAAGCTTGACATGCTTTTGTCTGTTGGAATTACTCCTCGTTCAGGCCTTGAAAGGTTCTGTGTTATAACACTCTAGAGGAACACTTAGCTGCACTTTGCTTCATATAGGCATTGATTGAAATCATGCCTCCACTGAGTGTGGTGAAGCCAATATGTGACATACCAATGGTCACACGAGCCCTGACTGAACCATTATTCGAACCTCTAGAAGGAGCTTCCATGGTGGTAGCACAGAAAGTGCTGGTGGCTGGTACCCCAGCAAGAATAATGGGTGAACTCCAGGCTTGGTCCTGTGAGAACCCCCTTTCACTACTTTTCAACAGATATGATCGTCTTGCATTTGGCACCTGAAGATCCTGCCTTTGGTGAATGCTTATCTATGTCATTCTCTACCTGTACTGAAGGGTACCGATTGAGCGTTGATGCCCCTGGTGTTTTGCTTCATGTAAGCAACAATTGAACTCAAGCCTCCGCTGAGGGTGTTGAAACCAATATGTGATGTACCACTGGTCTCACAGACTCTGACTGTACTTCTAGCAAGAGCTTCCATGATGTTAGCCCAGACGTTGCTGTTGCTGGTGACTGGTACCTCAGCAGGGTGAATGTGTGCACTTGCTGCACTTTGCTTCATATAGGCATTGATTGAAATCATGCCTCCACTGAGTGTGGTGAAGCCAATATGTGATGTACCACTGGTCTCACGGGCCCTGACTGAACCATTATTCGAACCTCTAGAAGGAGCTTCCATGGTGGTAGCACAGAAAGTGCTGGTGGCTGGTACCCCAGCAAGAATAATGGGTGAACTCCAGGCTTGGTCCTGTGAGAACCCCCTTTCACTACTTTTCAACAGATATGATCGTCTTGCATTTGGCACCTGAAGATCCTGCCTTTGGTGAATGCTTATCTATGTCATTCTCTACCTGTACTGAAGGGTACCGATTGAGCGTTGATGCCCCTGGTGTTTTGCTTCATGTAAGCAACAACTGAACTCAAGCCTCCGCTGAGGGTGTTGAAACCAATATGTGATGTACCACTGGTCTCACAGACTCTGACTGTACTTCTAGCAAGAGCTTCCATGATGTTAGCCCAGACGTTGCTGTTGCTGTTGCTAGTGACTGGTACCTCAGCAGGGTGAATGTGTGCACTTGCTGCACTTTGCTTCATATAGGCATTGATTGAAATCATGCCTCCACTGAGTGTGGTGAAGCCAATATATGATGTACCACTGGTCTCACGGGCCCTGACTGAACCATTATTTGAACCTCTAGAAGGAGCTTCCATGGTGGTAGCACAGACAGTGCTGGTGGCTGGCACCCCAGCAAGGGAAATGGGTGAACTCCAGGCTTGATCCTGTGTACCCCCATTCACTGAATTTCAACAGGAGATGGTTGTCATGCACGTAGCACCAGTGATCGTGCCCAAAGTGAGAGCTTTTCAATGCCGTTCTCTACCTGTAGCGAAGGATTTGGGGCATTCTCCACTAGTGCTGTTACAGCATCTCGTGGGCTTCCATGGCAATGGTCTCTGCTGAAACTTTGTAAAGTTGGCATTTTGACCTCTTTGAACTAGTTTGTCCTGCATTACATATTGGACATTGAAGCAATTAACGAGGCACAATTTGGACGTCACGTCCGTTCTCTACCTGTGCTGGAGGGTATCAGGGCACTCTCCTCTCATGCTGTTGCAGCATCATGGGTTGCCATGGCAATGGTTTCTGCTGACACTTTTTGTAAGCTAGCATTTGAACCTCCTTTAGACACGTTTGTCTGGCATTTCATACTGTTCGTTAAAACAGTCTATGATGCACAATTTGGTACTCAAGTACTTAACTCAGTTCATTCTTCTATCTATGTTGAATTATTCTGATAATTTGATTGGCTATTCTGTCCCTCCCTTTGTAAGCTTGGGTATTCCCCATGTGTATATGCTGCCATGATTAGCCAGGAAAGTGGAAAATTTATTCATACTTACCGTAATTTTCTTTTCCTGGCTATTATTCATGGCAGCATATACTTCCCTCCCATTAATGTCTCTATTTATGTACTGTAGAGCTTGTAAACTGACTGAGGACCTTAGGGATGGAGCCTCCTTTTAAAACCTTGGTGGTTTTCCTGTCCTATCGGCTGTAGGGGAGGAGCTAACCCATGTGTATATGCTGCCATGAATAATAGCCAGGAAAAGAAAATTACGGTAAGTATGAATAAATTTTCCACTATTTGGTGCCCTCTGCTGGTAGAACCACATTTATGCAATTAATTAACCTGTAGGTTGGGATGGAGTGTATTTTACTGGGTGTTTTCCTTTCTCTCTTTCTTTTATAATGCATGTTTTCTTCACCATTTCCTGAATTTGATATGCAAAATGTTATTTTTTTCTTTCCTTTGGTATCTCTAGCTAGTTAAAAAGAACCCTGCTGAACATTTCTGAACCCTGGATCTAACCTTGGGCTGCTCTAGATAAAGCAGAGTTTGGGGTTCAGTCTACGGAGAGCTGCAGGATTCGTGTTCAGTCTATGGAGAGCTGCCGGGTTCAGTGTTCAGTCTATGGAGAGCCGCAGGGCTCAGTATTCAGTCTATGGAGAGCTGCAGGGTTCAGTGTTCAGTCTATGGAGAGCTGCAGGGTTCAGTGTTCAGTCTATGGAGAGCTGCTGGGTTCAGTGTTCAGTCAATGGAGAGCTGCAGGGTTCAGTGTTCAGTCTATGGAGAGCTGCAGGGTTCAGTCTATGGAGAGCTGCAGGGTTCAGTGTTCAGTCTATGGAGAGCTGCAGGGTTCAGTGTTCAGTCTATGGAGAGCTGCAGGGTTCAGTGTTCAGTCTATGGAGAGCTGCAGGGTTCAGTGTTCAGTCTATGGAGAGCTGCAGGGTTCAGTATTCAGTCTATGGAGAGCTGCAGGGTTCAGTATTCAGTCTATGGAGAGCTGCAGGGTTCAGTGCTCAGTCTATGGAGAGCTGCAGGGTTCAGTGTTCAGTCTATGGAGAGCTGCAGGGTTCAGTATTCAGTCTATGGAGTGCTGCAGGGTTTAGTATTCAGTCTATGGAGAGCTGCAGGGTTCAGTCTATGGAGAGCTGCAGGGTTCAGTGTTCAGTCTATGGAGAGCTGCAGGGTTCAGTGTTCAGTCTATGGAGAGCTGCAGGGTTCAGTGTTCAGTCTATGGAGAGCTGCAGGGTACAATGTTCAGTCTATGGAGAGCTGCAGGGTTCAGTATTCAGTCTATGGAGAGCTGCAGGGTTCAGTATTCAGTCTATGGAGAGCTGCAGGGTTCAGTATTCAGTCTATGGAGAGCTGCAGGGTTCAGTGCTCAGTCTATGGAGAGCTGCAGGGTTCAGTATTCAGTCTATGGAGAGCTGCAGGGTTCAGTGCTCAGTCTATGGAGAGCTGCAGGGTTCAGTATTCAGTCTATGGAGAGCTGCAGGGATCAGTGCTCAGTCTATGGAGAGCTGCAGGGTTCAGTATTCAGTCTATGGAGAGCTGCAGGGTTCAGTGTTCAGTCTATGGAGAGCTGCAGGGTTCAGTGTTCAGTCTATGGAGAGCTGCAGGGTTCAGTATTCAGTCTATAGAGAGCTGCAGGGTTCAGTGTTCAGTCTATGGAGAGCTGCAGGGCTCAGTATTCAGTCTGTGGAGAGCTGCAGGGCTCAGTATTCAGTCTGTGGAGAGCTGCAGGGCTCAGTATTCAGTCTATGCAGAGCTGCAGGACTCAGTGTTCCGTCTATGGAGAGCTGCAGGGTTCAGTATTCAGTCTGAGAGCTGCTGGGGTTCAGTATTCAGTCTATGGAGAGCTGCAGGGTTAAGTACTCAGTCTATGGAGAGCTGCAGGGTTCAGTGTTGAGTCTATGGAGAGCTGCCGGGTTCAGTATTCAGTCTATGGAGAGCTGCCGGGTTCAGTATTCAGTCTATGGAGAGCTGCAGGGCTCAGTGTTCAGTCTATGGAGAGCTGCTGGGTTCAGTATTCAGTCTATGGAGGGCTGCCGGGTTCAGTATTCAGTCTATGGAGAGCTGCAGCGTTCAGTGTTCAGTCTATGGAGAGCTGCAGGGTTCAGTGTTCAGTCTATGGAGAGCTGCAGAGTTCAATCTACGGAGAGCTGCAGGATTCGTGTTCAGTCTATGGAGAGCTGCAGGGTTCAGTATTCAGTCTATAGAGAGCTGCAGGGTTCAGTATTCAGTCTACGGAGAGCTGCAGGGTTCAGTATTCAGTCTATGCAGAGCTGCAGGACTCAGTGTTCCGTCTATGGAGAGCTGCAGGGTTCAGTATTCAGTCTATGGAGAGCTGCTGGGGTTCAGTATTCAGTCTATGGAGAGCTGCAGGGTTCAGTATTCAGTCTACGGAGAGCTGCAGGATTCGTGTTCAGTCTATGGAGAGCTGCAGGGTTCAGTATTCAGTCTATGGAGAGCTGCCGGGTTCAGTATTCAGTCTATGGAGAGCTGCAGGGTTCAGTATTCAGTCTATGGAGAGCTGCAGGGCTCAGTGTTCAGTCTATGGAGAGCTGCTGGGTTCAGTATTCAGTCTATGGAGAGCTGCAGGGTTCAGTGTTCAGTCAATGGAGAGCTGCAGGGTTCCGTGCTCAGTTAATGGTGAGCTGCAGGGTTCCGTGCTCAGTCAATGGAGAGCTGCAGGTTTCTACTATTCAGTCTATGTAGAACTGCAGGGTTCAGTGTTCAGTTAATGGAGAGCTGCAGGGTTCAGTGCTCAGTATATGGAGAGCTGCAGGGTTGATTATTCAGTCTATGGAGAGCTGCAGGGTTCAGTGTTCAGTCTATGGAGAGCTGCAGGGTTCAGTATTCAGTCTATGGAGTGCTGCAGGGTTTAGTATTCAGTCTATGGAGAGCTGCAGGGTTCAGTCTATGGAGAGCTGCAGGGTTCAGTGTTCAGTCTATGGAGAGCTGCTGGGTTCAGTGTTCAGTCTATGGAGAGCTGCAGGGTTCAGTATTCAGTCTATGGAGAGCTGCAGGGTTCAGTATTCAGTCTATGGAGAGCTGCAGGGTTCAGTATTCAGTCTATGGAGAGCTGCAGGGTTCAGTATTCAGTCTATGGAGAGCTGCAGGGTTCAGTGCTCAGTCTATGGAGAGCTGCAGGGTTCAGTATTCAGTCTATGGAGAGCTGCAGGGTTCAGTATTCAGTCTATGGAGAGCTGCATGGGTTAGTATTCAGTCTATGGAGAGCTGCTGGGGTTCAGTATTCAGTCTATGGAGAGCTGCAGGGTTCAGTCTATGGAGAGCTGCAGGGTTCAGTGTTCAGTCTATGGAGAGCTGCAGGGTTCAGTGTTCAGTCTATGGAGAGCTGCAGGGCTCAGTGTTCAGTCTATGGAGAGTTGCAGGGTTCAGTATTCAGTCTATGGAGAGTTGCAGGGTTCAGTATTCAGTCTATAGAGAGCTGCTGGGTTCAAAGTTCAGTCTATGGAGAGCTGCAGGGTTCAGTCTATGAAGAGCTGCAGGGCTCAGTGTTCAGTCAATGGATTGCAGCTGGGTTTAGTTTATGGGGAGTATGATAACCTGTTCTTGCAGGGACTCTGTGCCGGCCGTTTTCATGCTGTAATATGTAGCACAGATCGTTTTAATAGAATGTGTAAATGTTTGTGTGTGGGCTGTCGGTGTCCAGGCTTTGTGTTCTCTGATCTGTTAGTGTTTCTTTAATTTAATCCTGCAGTTCACGGAGGATGGGGTGAGTGGAAGAAGGTCTCCGAATGCTCAGTCACCTGTGGCTTGGGGCGAGTGGGAGAAGAGAGGGTCTGCAATAACCCAGCACCCAAACATGGCGGCAGAGGTTGCCCAGGATCCCCCATCAGACACATTCTCTGCAACACGAAGACTGAATGTCCCAGTAAGTGCACAATGTGGCCCCCAGCTTTATAGAGCAGGACTGACTCCCCCACATCCCTCCTTTACTCCCTCCACCTTTTATCTCTATTTTCCTACCCTGGACATTGTGTTGTAGCTGTGCTGAGCCGGATATTCTAGGAATCATTGATCATGCTCTGAGTGTTTCATTCCATATCCCGAGAACTTCAAATGGACAAAGTGGACACTTTAATTTTAGGGGCGTGTCTGCAGTGTGGCTATGGGTGGGGCTGTTCTGAGTGTGAGTGAGACTGTGACCAGGGACGGGGCTGTTCTGAGAAACTTATAACAATGTTTTCAACTAAAATGTAATTTAGAAGAAGAACAATGTATCTTATTGAAACGGAACCGCCTGGCACCCCTTCCGGGTACCAAGCACTCCACCTGACACCATAACCACTGCCGACCCCACAAACCGCCGCAGCTTGGTTGGGGTCTCGCCGTCTCCACCCACTCTGGACCCAAGACCAGGGTCCAGCTGCTGGCTGCCACTGGGGAGAGACCGGTTGTCTCGTCTCCCTTGACAACACACTGCCGCTGGGGAGTCAGACCGACTGTCTCGACTCCCGGCGATGATGGTTGCTGCAGGGACGAGGGACTGACAATATCCTCTCCCTGGGATGCTGGCTGCCGCTGGGGAGAGAGACCGATAGCCCACAGCCCCAATCGGAGCTCGCATTCCCATGCCGCTCGATTCTCCTCTACCAACTTGTGCATGGTTGCCAGGATCGTCTCTGCCGAAGGATCCAGGCCATACCTGCTTAGCCGCCTCTTTACTTCATCCCTGTAAGCGGCGCCCTCAAAGCGATAGGTCATGTTTGCTGTGAACAGGGGCGCTGTACGAATACTAGCGTTGCCCTCAATTTTTAATTTCAAACGTTACCGGTGCCTCCGAGCTGCTTCTCTTCGCACTAGTACGCCATCCCACCGCTGCCACCACTGTAACGGAACGCCTGGCACCCCGACTGGGTACCTTCCCCAACGGATGCTACTAGTGCTCACTGAGGGCTCCAAGCACTCCACTCAACACCATAACCACTGCAGACCCCCACGAACCGCCGCAGCTTGGTTGGGGTCTCGCTGTCCTCCACCCAAGACCAGCGTTCAGCTTCCAGTGGGTAAGCCATGCGTTTAGACTGGAAGAAAGAAGATTTTGTCTAAGGCAAAGGAAAGGTGTTTTTACTGTAAGAACAATCAGAATGTGGAATTCTCTGCCTGAAGAAGTGTTTTTTATAAGAGTCCATACAGATGTTCAAACAGCTACTAGATGCATACTTGCAAAAACAGAATATTCAAGGATATAATCTTTCAATGTAGGGTAATAACTGCTTGATCCAAGGATAAATCTGACTGCCGTTCTGGGGTCAAGAAGGGATTTTTTCCTAGCTTGTGGCAAAACTTGTTGCTAGCTTGTTGCAAACTGGGTTGTTTTTTTTTGCCTTCTTTTGGATCAACAGCAAAAAACAAATGAGAGGAAGGCTGAACTTGTTGGACGCAAGTCTCTTTTCAGCTATGTAACTATGTAACCTCTCCTAGAATCCAGAGAGCAGGAACCAGGAACAAGCTCTTACAAGAGCTTAAACTCAGGGGAGTATTGTGATATAGCAATCCCCAGAGTGTAGTTATCCCATCCACCAAACATGAGCCAAGACTTCATGAAGGGATAAAGCAGGTCTGTTTAATGCACACAAAAGGACTTTGTTTATACAAGTTTTCAGACCAGAGGCACGCCCTCTGGACCTGGTGGGAAACTGTGACAAACAGGGACACAAACCAATGGGAACACTAATTAACAAAATAACACTCTCACATACACAGTAAAATCCCACCCCTCTATCATGGAGATAATTGGCTTAAGGCAGTGCAGTAAACTCAATTATCTCCAGGTACAGAAAATATCTCCATTTTACACTAACAGTAAAAATACATAAAAATACACAATTCCTTTTATATTACACAGAACCCCCACATTTCTGAGCGCCCAATATAGGGGAACAGCGCTCAGATCCCACGAACAGAGTAAATTTGCCATGGGGTTAAAGTTTTGCAAGGGCTGATGAGAGATTGAGGAGGGACAAAGCAGCCAGTTTAAACTGCTCTGGCAGTGTCCCTGGGACAACGCCCTGCTGGAGATCAATGGGACAGGAAACAGGGGGAGGGGAATGTAGCGGAACGCCAATAATAAATCCACGAATTCCGCTGGTCCAGAAACGAATCCACAGTCAAGCGCTGAAAACAACCAGGCAATATCCCCAACCTCCCAATAACCGGACGAGACACAGTTTTGGGAGTCAACTGAAATCCTTTTAATCGGCAAGACAATTTATACAAGTCCCCATGCAAGGGGTTTCCTGAGTCCCTCCCCAGGGGCACTCCCAGAGGGAACTACATGGGGGACTTACATGCCAACATATTTCTCCCATCAGGCACTGCTGCACGAGAGGGATCATCCTCCCAGAATGCACCGTTAAGGGGATTATCCCCTCGTGCAGCAGAACCGGCAATTCACACAAAAATCTATAACTTTTAAAATACACGGTGGATTTACACGAATGGACGTTCGGTAGATAGCTGGGGTCTGGGCGCATCATTCGTGAGATTGCCGCTCAGATCCCAGCTAAAATAACCGAACGCCGCACAGAAAACACATTTCTTTCAAATCATACGAAAAGAACCGATTACTTTTAATGAACACGGTCCTGAAACTCCCGAACGTCCTGGAGGCTCAGCGGTGTTTGTGCCGTCGAATAGCTATTGGTAATACTATGCGTTCGACAACACGGACCTGCTGAGGAACAAAGGATCCAAGATGGCCGACCACCGCATGGTCGGTAGTCGAACGACGGCCACCCAGGAGAGCCTCTAATAACCGATTGCAACAATGTTGCAATCGGTTAACTAGCGCCACACGCCTCTAAGTGTGTGGGCTATCAGGGGATATTGCGTTCGGTTCACGAACGGCTTTCTAAAGTGCCGTTCGTGAAACGAAAGAAAATCCCCATACAAAACCGCCATTTGCATTCGACTGAAACAGCAGTACAGGCAATACAGAAAATACATGAACATTTACATAAGTGTGAAGCGCGTATCTCGCCTGACCTATTGGCAACCCTTAAAGGCACAGTCTCTAGTTATTGTCCAAGTGGCTAGGTTTGCCACAATGCTCCCCCAGAACCAAGCCGGCATACACAGTCTGATCCCAACGGATTGGCTTGGGGATGTCCGGAGGAGTGCTCACAGATCATTTCTCAAGGTCTGTTTGTCTGGACAACCCGTCGGCATTACCGTTTTGTTTCCCTGGGCGGTAGTGGATTGTAAAGTCAAAGGGCTGCAGCGCCAAACTCCAGCGCAGCAGCCTGGCATTGTCTCCCGCCACACGGTTTAGCCACACCAACGGGTTGTGATCTGTGAGCAAAGAAAAGGGTTGCCCATAGAGATACGGCTGTAACTTTTTCAGGGCCCACACCACGGCCAGGCATTCCTTTTCTATGGCGGCGTAGCTCACCTCTCGGGGTAACAGTTTCCGACTCAAGTATGCTACGGGGTGTTCTCCGCCATCGGCTCCGACCTGGCTCAGTACTGCTCCCAATCCAAACATTGAGGCGTCTGTGTGAACAAGAAAACGTTTAGTTGGATCAGGAGCAGCCAGTACAGGGGCATTGGTCAGAGCCGTCTTCAGCTGATTGAATGCCTGTTCACACTCTGGGGCCCAGACGACCTGCCGGGGCAGGTTTTTCTTCGTCAAATCAGTCAGGGGTTTGGCCAGGGCACTGTAGTTGGGCACAAATTTTCTGTAATACCCTGCGGTACCTAGGAAAGCCAGGACTTGGGTTTTGGTCCTAGGGGTAGGCCACTGGGCTACAGCTTCAGTCTATGCGGGCTCAGGCTTCTGCTGCCCGCTACCAACACGGTGTCCAAAGTACTGGACCTCTGCCATCCCTATGTGGCATTTGCTGGGTTTCAAGGTAAGCCCTGCCTCTCGGATCCGATCTATTAACGCCCCTATATGTTGTAGGTGTTCTGCCCAGGTCTGACTGTAGATGGCAATATCGTCCAGATATGCACACGCATAGTCCTGGAACCCGTCCAGTAGCCGATCCACCATCCGCTGGAATGTCGCGGGGGCGTTCTTCATCCCGAATGGCATGACTCGAAATTGGTACAAGCCAAACGGGGTGACAAACGCCGACTTAGGGATGGCGTCCTCGGCTAGTGGAATTTGCCAGTATCCCTTACACAAATCTATGGTAGTGAGATACTGACCCCTGGCCATCCTATCAAGCAGTTCGTCTATCCGAGGCATCGGGTAGGCGTCCGACACAGTTTTGTCGTTCAACCTCCGGTAGTCCACGCAGAACCGGGTGGTACCATCTTTCTTGGGAACCAGGACTACCGGCGATGCCCAGGGGCTATCTGAGTGTTCAATAACCCCCAACTGCAACATCTCTTCAATTTCTTTCCTCATATGTTCCCGCACGGATTCAGGAATCCGATAGGGAGTCTGTCGCATGGGAAGCTGTCCCGGGGTTTCTACTCGGTGGGTGGCTAGTGGAGTGTACCCAGGTAGGTTAGAAAAGGTGGCGCCCTTGGTTGCTATCAGTTCTTGTACCTGGATACGCTCTTGAGGACTTAGCCGCTCCCCCAGTTGAACCCCCTGGGAGGGTTCCTTCTGCTCCTCCTGCTCTAACAGATCTGGAAGGGGCAGGTTCTCCTGATCTTCGGAGGCGGGCGTGCAAATAGCTGCCACGTCCTCCGTCCGCTCGTGGTAGGGTTTGAGCATGTTCACATGGAGCATGCGTCTCTTCCCTACTCCGGAGCATGGGCCGATCACATAGGTGGTATCGCATCTCTGCTCTACCACCTGGTATGGGCCCTGCCAGACGGCCTGCAGTTTATCGGTGCGGACAGGTTTAAGGATTAGCACCTTCTGTCCCACTTGAAAACTACGGTCTCTGGCCCCTCTGTCATACCAACGACGCTGTCGTTGCTGGGCGGCCTGGAGGTTGGTGCGCACTGCCTGGGTCAATTCCTCCAGGCGATCCCGGAACGCCAGCACGTATGGTACAATAGGGGTCCCATCTGCGCTACTCTCTCCCTCCCAATGCTCTCTAATGAGATCCAACGGCCCCCGGACCCTTCTCCCAAACAATAGTTCAAATGGGGAGAAACCCGTGGACTCTTGGGGCACCTCTCTGTATGCAAACAGATGGGGAAGGAATCGTTCCCAGTCCTTATGGGTCTCTCCGAATGTCCGGAGAATCTGTTTTAGGGTACCGTTGAATCTCTCACATAATCCATTGGATTGCGGGTGGTAGGCGGAGTTAATGATCGGCTTAATGCCGCATATCTTCCATAACTGCTGAGTAACCTCAGCCGTGAATTGGGTCCCCCTATCGGAGACCATTTCCTGTGGGAACCCTACTCGGGAGAATATCTTCATCAAGGCTTCGGCTACGGTCTCAGCGTGTATATTAGTTAGGGCAATCGCCTCGGGGTACCGGGTGGCGTAATCCACCACGGTCAGGATATCCCGTTTCCCAGAAGGGCTGGGTTTTGGTAGTGGCCCTACTATATCCACTGCTACATGGCTGAATGGTTCCTCAATTATAGGTAGGGGACATAGTTTTGCCTTGTGGCGATCCCCCCTTTTACCTACCCTCTGGCACACATCACAGGAGGTACAATATTGCCTCACGTCTTTAGAAATCCCGGGCCAAAAGAATGCGTGCGTTAAGCGATACCGGGTCCGGGTCATCCCTAGATGGCCGGACAGAGGGATATCATGGGCGACTCTTAGTAACTCCTGCCTATACTTCTGGGGCACTACTAGCTGCTTGGTTTGGAGTGTCCAGAGTTGCCTATTGCCCTTTCTGCTACCCGGTATAGTAACTTCTTCTCCCACCTGTACTGTTCTCCCTCCCGCCCCACCTGGTCCGTATCTACCCTATCTCGGTATACCTGCAGTGTGGGGTCTGTCTGCACCTCTACTTCAAACGTGGACGGGGTGTCCCAAGTCATGTCTGTCAAGGGGGGGGTCATGATTTCTTACCTGAGCCTCAGAGTGTGCGGGGAATGCCGTGGTGCGAGCCTGTTGCCGGGTGGTTACCGGATGCGCCTCTTGTGACGGGGCCTGGGGTAGAAAAGCAGAAGTCATCTGGCCCAAGTCATTCCCCAAAACAACATCGGCCGGTAGCTTTTTCATTATGGCCACTTCCACAACCCCCTCCCCAGCACCCCAATTCAAATGCACCTTGGCCGTGGGTAACCGGTACATGGCTCCCCCTGCTACCCGGACTGCCACTGATCCGCCAGTGTGGGCCGTATCTGGAATTAAATGGGGGGCCACTAAGGTCAAGGTGGCTCCCGAGTCCCGCAGCCCCTGCACTTCTTTCCCTCCCACAAACACAACTTGGCGGTGATGCTGCCGGTTGTCCGTGGCTTGCACAGACATCACCTCGTACAGAACCCCCAATGGTTCCTCGGTTGGTATACTTGTCAGCTCCGAGTGGTCAGGTTCTGCGTGGTAGAAATGGGCCGCCGCCCTGGGAACGGAATTCTGCCGTACCTGGTTCCACGCCTGCCTGCTACGATTCTGGGTGCACTCCCGGGACATATGCCCCCACTGCCGGCAGGTATGGCATTGTATGTTGGCCCTGCCATTGTAGCGGGCTGGCGGTGGGGGGTTTCCTAGTGGTGGCCTGAATGGGGTAGAGTTGGCGGGTGTGGGGCTGGCTGGGTGGTGTTGTATTGGCGGTCTTAGGGGACCCCTGTTGGTGAGCCCATGGTGTCTCCGGGCATCAAAGTGTTCGTCTGCAAATCGGGCGGCTGCTGTGAGGGTGAGAGGTTTTCTGTCCCTTACCCACTCCTGTGCCTCTGGTGACAGACCGTTGAAGAATTGCTCCAGCAAGATGAGTTGGCGCAGTTCCTCCATGGTGGTGGCTTGACTTGCCTGAATCTCACCCTTGCGAAGCTTGGTCCAGCTTATGCGCCCATTCTGCGTGGGAATCTCTTTCGGGCTTTTTCAATCCCCGAAATTTCCGTCGGTATGCCTCTGGGGTTATGGCATATCTCGAAATCCTGCAGATATCCGTCTATCTCATCCTTCTCCTCGCAGAATGCTTTAAATGCCTGGTACGGTATTTTCTGCTTTGTTGGAGGCAGGGATGGCATGAGTTGACGATGGATTCTGCCCTGGATGGTGACCTCTGGTGTTGCTGTGCCATAATGTAGTCCTGGACGTCGGCCATTAGCACGGTTAAGATGTCCAGGGTTACTGGCTGTGGTACAAATTCCAGCCGGGTTCTCAGTTCCCTCTGGTATGGTGTTTCCTCTCTGGCATGTGGGGGTGGACTGCTGTGTGCTTGGTCGCCCTCCATTAGCTCTGCAATCAGTACTGCCTTCGATTTGTTGCTAGCGCTTTTCCCTCTAGCCTCCAGCAGCTCCTTTAGCGTCTGTCTCTTTAACGCCGTGTAATCAGTCCCCATTCACTGATCGCTTTCGTCTGCTTGTTTCATACGAATTGCCTTTCCGTTCGGTTGTTCCTTTCATTCGAATGCGCTGTATTCGGCTGTAGAGTTGGATCCCGTCGCTTGCCACCAATTGTAGCGGAACGCCAATAATAAATCCACGAATTCCGCTGGTCCAGAAACGAATCCACAGTCAAGCGCTGAAAACAACAAGGCAATATCCCCAACCTCCCAATAACCGGACGAGACACAGTTTTGGGAGTCAACTGAAATCCTTTTAATCGGCAAGACAATTTATACAAGTCCCCATGCAAGGGGTTTCCTGAGTCCCTCCCCAGGGGCACTCCCAGAGGGAACTACATGGGGGACTTACATGTCAACATATTTCTCCCATCAGGCACTGCTGCACGAGAGGGATCATCCTCCCAGAATGCACCGTTAGGGGGATTATCCCCTCGTGCAGCAGAACCGGCAATTCACACAAAAATCTATAACTTTTAAAATACACGGTGGATTTACACGAATGGACGTTCGGTAGATAGCTGGGGTCTGGGCGCATCATTCGTGAGATTGCCGCTCAGATCCCAGCTAAAATAACCGAACGCCGCACAGAAAACACATTTCTTTCAAATCATACGAAAAGAACCGATTACTTTTAATGAACACGGTCCTGAAACTCCCGAACGTCCTGGAGGCTCAGCGGTGTTTGTGCCGTCGAATAGCTATTGGTAATACTATGCGTTCGACAACACGGACCCGCTGAGGAACAAAGGATCCAAGATGGCCGACCGCCGCATGGTCGGTAGTCGAACGACTGCCACCCAGGAGAGCCTCTAATAACCGATTGCAACAATGTTGCAATCGGTTAACTAGCGCCACACGCCTCTAAGTGTGTGGGTTATCAGGGGATATTGTGTTTGGTTCACGAACGGCTTTCTAAAGTGCCGTTCGTGAAACGAAAGAAAATCCCCATACAAAGCCGCCATTTGCATTCGACTGAAACAGCAGTACAGGCAATACAGAAAATACATGAACATTTACATAAGTGTGAAGCGCGTATCTCGCCCGACCTATTGGCAACCCTTAAAGGCACAGTCTCTAGTTATTGTCCAAGTGGCTAGGTTTGCCACAGGGAAGAGGCACATTCTCCCGTGGAATCAAAGGGGCAGAAAAAGTATGTTACAATCCCATAAAGGGAACGTGGGGACTCATTGTGCATTACCCGAGATGGAATCTCTGTATTAGGGCCTTACAACCCAGTGCCATAGTCATGAGGCAGGAGGCTGGCAATCAAGCTCCTCCAACAGCCAGGGGCAAAGGGCAGTTTGTCACATAAAAATCCAGTGACAAAAGGCAGTTTGTCACACTTATTTACACAGACTGATTTCTAAACACCTTTATTGTAGTTTAAAGACACATAACCGGGAGTATTATTACTGTGGAGCTCTGTTACACACTCAGACACATTACTGGGAGTATTATTTATATGGAGCTCTGTTATACACTCAGCAACATTGCTCTGGAGCTCTGTTATACACTCAGCAACATTACTGGGAGTATTATTGCTGTGGAGCTCTGTTATACACACAGACACATTACTGGGAGTATTATTTATATGGAGCTCTGTTATACACTCAGCAACATTGCTCTGGAGCTCTGTTTTACACACAGACACATTACTGGGAGTATTATTGCTGTGGAGCTCTGTTATACACTCAGACACATTACTGGGAGTATTATTGCTGTGGAGCTCTGTTATACATTCAGACACACCAACAATATGGAGCTTCTAGAAAAGAGGACAGAGGGATTTATCTCCCCAGTGCCATTACCCGGGTAATACACAATGAGTCCCCACATTCCTTATACAGAGATTCCATCCCGAGTAATACACAATGAGTCCGCACGTTCCTTATACAGAGATTTCATCCCGGGTAATGCACAATGAGTCCCCACGTTCCTTATACAGAGATTCCATCCCGGGTAATACACAATGAGTCCGCACGTTCCTTATACAGAGATTCCATCCCAGGTAATACACAAGGAGTACGCACGTTCCTTATACAGAGATTCCATTCCGGGTAATACACAATGAGTCTGCACGTTCCTTATCCAGAGATTCCATCCCTGGTAATACACAATGAGTCCGCACGTTCCTTATCCAGAGATTCCATCCCGGGTAATACACAATGAGTCCCACATTCCTTATACAGAGATTCCATTCCGGGTAATACACAATGAGTCACCACGTTCCTTATACAGAGATACCATCCCGGGTAATACACAACGAGTCTGAACGTTCCTGTTAAGACACCTCCAGTGTCTTTAGGCAAAACCGCCGTTTAGTAGACCTTCCCCGGCTGCAGTACAGTCTCCGTTCGCTTAATCTGTAATATACGAACCAAATGCAGGGGAAGCGGCAATCTCCCGAACGAGATCGGTGAACGGCTCCAAACTCCCGAACGGCAATACACGAATTGCTGGTAACCGTCTAACAGCAATATTCACCAAGCGGCTTCCGTTCCATCCAGCAGTCTCTAAACGTGAAGAAGAAATCCCCCCAATAACGAGACAGAAGCTCCGCATTGAGGGTCAAACAGGATCTGGCTTTACTGTGGGCTACCTGCCCGTATTTATGCAGGTCTCCCACTTGGTGGACACTCCCCTAGGGGACCAAATGGGAGACTGGAATTACAGATAGACATGGGGACATTCCAGACATACAGTTAAAGATTTTACCCACAGTGCATTATGATTCCCTCCCCTCTGTCCTGGAGTTAATTACTAAGTAACTCAATTAACTCCCGAACAAAGCCAGTCGCCATTTTAAATATAAAATCACAAAAGACATAAAAATATATAACTTCACAAAAACCGAACATTCCCCATTCGTATTACATATCCCCAGATAGCCTGGATCTGAGTGCATATTATTGGCGAATAGCGCTCAGATCCCACACACATAGTTCAATCGCCATGGAGTCAAAGTTCTTACAGTCTTTCGGTATACGAATGACTCCATGGGAAGGCTATCTGGGTTAGGTCTTTTCGTATGCTCAAAAACTCCCGAACGGCCGGTGTTCGTATGGTTTCGTGGAGGCAGCCAGGCGTTCCGTTGTTTCAGCGGTGTTCGGCAGAAAAAGTGTCCGTTTTTAGTTCCACAGAAATAGAGCCAAACACCGCTGGGCGTTCGCTTGGTTTAAAATGGCCGCTGCCTCGTGGTTGACATACGAACGACGACCACCCTGAATTCGGTTTAATTGAGAAGTGTCTGCGGTTAACCACAACGTTCTAATTGGGATCAATAGGTTAACCAGCAGCACACTTCTCTCCGGGGTGGCCGTTCGTTCGGCAGTTTTGTTCGGGGAAAAAAGAGTCATTCGAATGGCTGGGCAATGGAAACCAGCCATTCATATGAACGGGAGACAAACAGACGAATGCAATTAAAATACAAGCAGACAGATGGTTCTGTCACAGTTCCTTATACAGAGATTCCATTCCAGTAATACACAATGAGTCACCACGTTCCTTATACAGAGATTCCATCTCGGGTAATACACAATGAGTCCGCACGCTACTTATCCAGAGATTCCATCCTGGGTAATACACAATGAGTCCGCACGTTCCTTATACAGAGATTCCATCCTGGGTAATGCACAATGAGTCCGCACGTTCCTTATACAGAGATTCCATCCTGGGTAATGCACAATGAGTCCCCACGTTCCTTATACAGAATTCCATCCTGGGTAATGCACAATGAGTCCGCGCGTTCCTTATACAGAGATGCCATCCCAGGTAATACACAATGAGACCACACGTTCCTTATACAGAGATGCCATCCCGGGTAATGCACAATGAGTCCGCACGTTCCTTATACAGAGATTCCATCCCGGGTAATACACAATGAGTCCCTAGTTCCTTATACAGAGATTCCATCCTGGGTAATACACAATGAGTCCGCACGTTCCTTATCCAGAGATTCCAATACACAATGAGTCACCACGTTCCTTATCCAGAGATTACATCCCGGGTAATACACAATGAGTCACCACGTTCCTTATACAGAGATTCCATCCCGAGTAATACACAATGAGTCCGCACATTCCTTATACAGAGATTTCATCCCGGGTAATGCACAATGAGTCCCCACGTTCCTTATACAGAGATTCCATCCCGGGTAATACACAATGAGTCCGCACGTTCCTTATACAGAGATTCCATCCCGGGTAATACACAAGGAGTACGCACGTTCCTTATACAGAGATTTCATCCCGGGTAATGCACAATGAGTCCCCACGTTCCTTATACAGAGATTCCATCCCGAGTAATACACAATGAGTCTGCACGTTCCTTATACAGAGATTCCATTCCGGGTAAACCATAATGAGTCCGCACGTTCCTTATACAGAGATTCCATCCCGAGTAATGCACAACGAGTCCGCACGTTCCTTATACAGAGATTCCATTCCGGGTAATACAAAATGAGCCACCACGTTCCTTATACAGAGATTCCATCCCGAGTAATACACAATGAGTCCGCACGTTCCTTATCCAGAGATTCCATCCCTGGTAATACACAATGAGTCACCACGTTCCTTATCCAGAGATTCCATCCCGGGTAATACACAATGAGTCACCACGTTCCTTATACAGAGATTCCATCCCGGGTAATACACAATGAGTCACCACGTTCCTTATACAGAGATGCCATCCCGGGTTATGCACAATGATTTTGCACGTTCCTTATACAGAGATTCCATCCCGGGTAATACACAATGAGTCCGCACGTTCCTTATCCAGAGATTCCATCCCGGGTAATACACAATGAGTCCCACATTCCTTATACAGAGATTCCATTCCGGGTAATACACAATGAGTCACCACGTTCCTTATACAGAGATACCATCCCGGGTAATACACAACGAGTCTGAACGTTCCTTATACAGAGATTCCATTCCGGTAATACACAATGAGTCACCAAGTTCCTTATACAGAGATTCCATTCCGGTAATACACAATGAGTCACCAAGTTCCTTATACAGAGATTCCATCTCGGGTAATACACAATGAGTCCGCACGCTACTTATACAGAGATTCCATCCTGGGTAATACATAATGAGTCCGCACGTTCCTTATACAGAGATGCCACCCCGGGTAATGCACAACGAGTCCGCACGTTCCTTATACAGAGATTCCATTCCGGGTAATACACAATGAGCCACCACGTTCCTTATACAGAGATTCCATCCCGAGTAATACACAATGAGTCCGCACGTTCCATATCCAGAGATTCCATCCCGGGTAATACACAATGAGTCCGCACGTTCCTTATCCAGAGATTCCATCCCTGGTAATACACAATGAGTCACCACGTTCCTTATCCAGAGATTCCATTCCGGGTAATACACAATGAGTCACCATGTTCCTTATACAGAGATACCATCCCGGGTAATACACAACGAGTCTGAACGTTCCTTATACAGAGATTCCATTCCGGTAATACACAATGAGTCACCAAGTTCCTTATACAGAGATTCCATCTCGGGTAATACACAATGAGTCCGCACGCTACTTATACAGAGATTCCATCCTGGGTAATACACAATGAGTCCCTAGTTCCTTATACAGAGATTCCATTCCGGGTAATACACGAGTCACCACGTTCCTTATACAGAGATGGCCATCCCTGGTAATGCACAATGATTTTGCACGTTCCTTATACAGAGATTCCATCCTGGGTAATACACAATGAGTCCGCACGTTCCTTATCCAGAGATTCCATCCCTGGTAATACACAATGAGTCACCACGTTCCTTATCCAGAGATTCCATCCCTGGTAATACACAATGAGTCACCGCGTTCCTTATACAGAGATTCCATCCCGGGTAATACACAATGAGTCCCACATTCCTTATACAGAGATACCATCCCGGGTAATACACAATGAGTCACCACGTTCCTTATCCAGAGATTCCATCCCGGGTAATACACAATGAGTCACCACGTTCCTTATCCAGAGATTCCATCCCTGGTAATACACAATGAGTCACCGCGTTCCTTATACAGAGATTCCATCCCGGGTAATACACGAGTCACCACGTTCCTTATACAGAGATGCCATCCCGGGTAATGCACAATGATTTTGCACGTTCCTTATACAGAGATTCCATCCTGGGTAATACACAATGAGTCCGCACGTTCCTTATCCAGAGATTCCATCCCTGGTAATACACAATGAGTCACCACGTTCCTTATCCAGAGATTCCATCCCGGGTAATACACAATGAGTCACCACGTTCCTTATCCAGAGATTCCATCCCTGGTAATACACAATGAGTCACTGCGTTCCTTATACAGAGATACCATCCCGGGTAATACACAACGAGTCTGAACGTTCCTTATACAGAGATTCCATTCCGGTAATACACAATGAGTCACCAAGTTCCTTATACAGAGATTCCATCTCGGGTAATACACAATGAGTCCGCACGCTACTTATACAGAGATTCCATCCTGGGTAATACACAATGAGTCCGCACGTTCCTTATACAGAGATTCCATCCCGGGTAATGCACAATGAGTCCCCACGTTCCTTATACAGAGATTCCATCCTGGGTAATACACAATGAGTCCGCACATTCCTTATACAGAGATGCCATCCCAGGTAATACACAATGAGTCCACACGTTCCTTATACAGAGATGCCATCCCGGGTAATGCACAATGAGTCCGCACGTTCCTTATACAGAGATTCCATCCCGGGTAATACACAATGAGTCACCACATTCCTGATACAGAGATGCCATCCTGGGTAATACACAATGAGTCCCCACGTTCCTTATACAGAGATTCCATCCCGAGTAATACGTGTAACGGACCGTTTTGCACACAAGGGGTAAAAAACGTTTAGGCGATCGGCCCCCTTTCCAGAGATCCAGGCACAGCTACTGCAGAACACCAAAACTCACGAACTGGATACAAAATAGCACTCCAACTCCCGAACTGGAACCTCCCAAATAGCTGCTAGCAGACGAACAGGAAAAGCAGACAATCAGCTTACACTCCTGGCAATCAGTCTCTAACAGCATACAGTGAATCCCCCCAAGAACGAGACAAGGCTCCGTGTTGAGGGTCAAGCAGTGGTCTGAGGTGCTGGCACACCCAGCCTGGTTTTTATTACAGTGTTTCAAATACAGGACCACCCACAGGGAGGGATAAAACAACCAATCATATCACAGTTACATCCCACATATTCCCTCCCCTTATCCTGAGAGGAAACTCAATTATACAAACAGTTAAAACATACTTTCTACCCAACTTTCATAACTCCAAAACCATACATCACATTCACATAAAATTACATATTCTCAATCAATCCATTCAGGGGAACAACATATTCAAAAATGGCACAAATCAGACAAGGGGTTCAAAAGTTAGTAAAAAGTCCTTTGTGACTAAATGAAGCATGGCTTTCTGGCCCAAACCAGTTTCAGAGTCTTCTATCCTGGAGATAAGTAATTCAATTATCTCCCAGGACAGACACAAGACTCCATTAAGCACATGGTTGCAAAGAGACACAAAACACTTTAAAATACATAAAGTCACATTTATTACATAAAACACAGACATCTAACATATCCCCAGATAGCTCAGGTCCGAGCGCACATTATTAAGTGAATGGCGCTCAGACCACACGAATACAGTTTAATCGCCATGGAGCTAAAGTCTTTACAGTCAGTTTCATACGAATGGGCTCCATGGGATTCCTATCTGGGGTATAACACATTCAAACAAATCTACTGAACCCCAGGCAGAAAAGCACGAATACAGCTTTTCTGCAGGCAAAAATAAAGTCTTTTAAAAGGGGGCCATAGTCCAAAGGCAGCAGGCGAGCAACCAGGCTTCTCCAATGCAATGTGGCGAGATTGGTCTCGTCACAATACGCAATGAGTCCCCACGTTCCTTATACAGAGATTCCATCCCGGGTAATACACAATGAGTCTGTACGTTCCTTATACAGAGATTCCATTCCGGGTAATACATAATGAGTCCGCACGTTCCTTATACAGAGATGCCATCCCGGGTAATGCACAACGAGTCCGCACGTTCCTTATACAGAGATTCCATTCCGGGTAATACACAATGAGCCACCACGTTCTTTATACAGAGATTCCATCCCGAGTAATACACAATGAGTCCGCACGTTCCTTATCCAGAGATTCCATCCCGGGTAATACACAATGAGTCCGCACGTTCCTTATCCAGAGATTCCATCCCTGGTAATACACAATGAGTCACCACGTTCCTTATCCAGAGATTCCATCCCGGGTAATACACAATGAGTCCCACATTCCTTATACAGAGATTCCATTCCGGTAATACACAATGAGTCACCAAGTTCCTTATACAGAGATTCCATCTCGGGTAATACAAAATGAGTCCGCACGCTACTTATACAGAGATTCCATCCCGAGTAATACACAATGAGTCCCCACGTTCCTTATCCAGAGATTCCATCCCGGGTAATACACAATGAGTCCGCACGTTCCTTATCCAGAGATTCCATCCCTGGTAATACACAATGAGTCACCACGTTCCTTATCCAGAGATTCCATCCCGGGTAATACACAATGAGTCCCACATTCCTTATACAGAGATTCCATTCCGGGTAATACACAATGAGTCACCATGTTCCTTATACAGAGATACCATCCCGGGTAATACACAACGAGTCTGAACGTTCCTTATACAGAGATTCCATTCCGGTAATACACAATGAGTCACCAAGTTCCTTATACAGAGATTCCATCTCGGGTAATACACAATGAGTCCGCACGCTACTTATACAGAGATTCCATCCTGGGTAATACACAATGAGTCCCTAGTTCCTTATACAGAGATTCCATTCCGGGTAATACACGAGTCACCACGTTCCTTATACAGAGATGCCGTCCCTGGTAATGCACAATGATTTTGCACGTTCCTTATACAGAGATTCCATCCTGGGTAATACACAATGAGTCCGCACGTTCCTTATCCAGAGATTCCATCCCTGGTAATACACAATGAGTCACCACGTTCCTTATCCAGAGATTCCATCCCGGGTAATACACAATGAGTCACCACGTTCCTTATCCAGAGATTCCATCCCTGGTAATACACAATGAGTCACCGCGTTCCTTATACAGAGATTCCATCCCGGGTAATACACAATGAGTCCCACATTCCTTATACAGAGATTCCATTCCGGGTAATACACAATGAGTCACCACGTTCCTTATACAGAGATACCATCCCGGGTAATACACAATGAGTCACCACGTTCCTTATCCAGAGATTCCATCCCGGGTAATACACAATGAGTCACCACGTTCCTTATCCAGAGATTCCATCCCTGGTAATACACAATGAGTCACCGCGTTCCTTATACAGAGATTCCATCCCGGGTAATACACGAGTCACCACGTTCCTTATACAGAGATGCCATCCCTGGTAATGCACAATGATTTTGCACGTTCCTTATACAGAGATACCATCCCGGGTAATGCACAATGAGTCCCACATTCCTTATACAGAGATTCCATTCCGGGTAATACACAATGAGTCACCACGTTCCTTATACAGAGATTCCATCCCGGGTAATACACAATGAGTCCGCACGTTCCTTATCCAGAGATTCCATCCCGGGTAATACACAATGAGTCCGCACGTTCCTTATTCAGAGATTCCATTCCGGGTAATACACAATGAGTCCCCACGTTCCTTATACAGAGATTCCATCCCGGGTAATACACAATGATTCCACACTTTCCTTATCGAGAGATTCCATCCTGGGTAATGCATAATGGGTCTGCTCGTTCCTTATACAGAGATTCCATTCCGGGTAAAACACAATGAGTCCTCACGTTCCTTATACAGAGATTCCATCCTGGGTAATACACAACGAGCCCCCACTTGCCTTATGCAGAGATTCTATCCCAGGTAATACACAATGAGTCCCCACATTCCTTATACAGAGATTCCATCCCGGGTATTATACAATGAGTCCGCAAATCCATGTTCCTCTATTTTATCTTTAAATTTTGTGAATATTGCCCCTCTGTTTAACTTCCTTTCCTTTCTTCCCTTACACTCTCTGTCTGGATTAACCAGTTTTAGCACAAATTAAAATCCCCCTCGCTGCTTTCTTCCCCCTGAGATTCTCTGAAATCTCTTGTGTGCCAGCCCCATGGCCCCCCTACCTCATGTTTCTGTCTAACGGGATAGATATTATATTTGTGGAATCAATCTGCCCTTCAACGCGTACTATGTATTGCACTTCCACATTTGTATCTGCTTCCTGTAGACAGTCAGTTCTTGGGATCAAGTCCTTCCTAACGTTTGTCTGATAGGTTTTGTTTTCCTCTTTGTACAGCACTGTGGAATATGTTGGTGCTGTATACTAGTAATGCACAGTGAGTGGGTGTTTTGGGCTGCCCTGCGTTACCCTGATTCTCGTCTTACCCCCTCACAGTTGACGGAGAGTGGTCGGAGTGGCAGGACTGGTCAGACTGTCAGCTGCTCGGTGAAGACATTCGCTGTAAGAAGAGAGCTGGGATTCAGAGCCGGAAACGGGAATGTTTGGGGACGAATTATGGGGGGAAATGGTGCGAAACGCCCTACAGAGAGGGCCGCAACTGCTACAATGTAGAAAAATGTATAATACGTAAGTTTTTAACAACTCACACTTGTACACAGGGCTCACACTTGGATTACACACACTGCAAACAGATGGAGTGCACTCAACACACTGTGGGTACACACACCGCTCACACTTGGGGTACACGTTCCGCTCACACTTGTGCGGAGTATGCTTATTGTGTACCTCTGCATCTCAGGTACTACCAGATGGTCGGAGTGGAGTCCCTGGAGTTTGTGTTCTGCCTCATGTGGTGTTTCTGAGAGGACTAGACAGAGGGTCTGTGAGCCCATATACCAAGATTATCCGTGAGTATCTTCACCCTCATTCTCCTAATAGAGCTCAATGGTAGTGGTTACCAGGTGATGTTAATGATTATTACATTTACAGCAGAATTTATTACTGTGTAGTAAAATGTCACTGCTTTCAGTTCTGTAAATGTTTTATTAAACATTTCTTTCTTAGGGACACTGTGACAACAGCAACAAAAGTTTCCGAAGTGTTTTTCCATGGAACACCCAGGTTTCAGTGTCAACCCATCAATAATGAGAAATTAAAGGTGGTGGAGACGATTCCATGCCAGAATGTGCCCAAGTGCTGATACATGTCTCATGGTAAGTCCATAGGAAGGTAGGCTGATCCCGTATTGTACGGTCCTCTAGGGTGTAAACATGCGCAGTCTTTTGAATTAACAAATTCAGGCACTTTATTGTTGAAATCCGCTAAGGGAGCAAGGGGGGGAGGTAGGGGCTGCATAGGGAGCAAGGGGGGGAGGTAGGGCCTGTGATGGGGCAGTAGTGGGGGAAATTATATAGTTAAATTTCTTTTAAATAAAATAAAATTAAGTCTCAAAATCATCTTCTGAAGGTCCCTCACCACCCCAGGGCACACGATGCTGACATGCTGCCTGTTACTCTGCTCAGGGCAGCTCCGCACAGCTCACTCTGCACTGTGACTGATGATGTCAATTCCTGCAGAACCAGCCATACGGAGCTGCCCTGAGCAGTGTTACACTGAGACAGACACACTGAGGGGCAGCCTAGGGTGGACTTTGGAAATCCCTTTAGCTGTCCCTCAGTGTCCCCAGCAAGGGGAGAAGATTTCTAGCAGTAGGGGCTCACGGAAGACTGTATGGGCCCCTTACTGAGTGCAGCTGGGTGGGGAGATTGTTTAACTCCCCAGCTCAGCCATTACTGCACTGCTCCAGCTCCCGAACAGGAAACACACGAATGCTGTAAACAGCCGAACAGGAAAAACCATGGGAACTGTTTACACTCCTGGCAGTCGCACTGTAACAGCATACAATCCAATTCTCCTCAAGAACAAGACGACACTTCGTTTGAGGGTCAAGCAGAACTGATTTACTGGGGCTACTTGCCCGGCTTTTATGCAGGTCTCCCACCTGGTGGACACTGCCCTACAGGACCAGATGGGAACAAGCTAACACTTTTAAACAGATCCCACGATGCACTGCAATCCCTCCTCTCTGTCCTGGAGATAATTGGGAAGTAATCCAATTATCTCCAAGGACAGAGGCAAAACTCCATTAGCCACATGTTAGTAAAAGACATAAAATTACACAGTGTTACAATTACTACATAAAACATATACATTCAACATATCCCCAGATAGCTTAGATCTGAGCGCACATTATTACCGAATAACGCTCAGATCACATACACACAGTTCAATCGCCATAGAGCCAAAGTCTTTCCCATAGTCTTTCGGTATACGAATGAGCTCCATGGCTTAGCTATCTGAGGTAACACTGCTCACATAGGGAAAATAAAAGGTTTTTAATAAAGGTGGGCAACCAGGCTCATCCAGTGGCAAGGTTGGTTCCGCCACCTTGAGCAATGGGTTGGAAACAGTCCAAAGCCCTGGCCTGGACCTTATATCTCCCAGTTGTATATAAACTGTGGAGTGGAACTCTGGCCCTCCCTACTCTCTGAATACTCCACCCGAGGGGCCCACATCTAAACATTTATTTATGTTGCAAACAATATACCCATCCCCACCACCCCCCGGGGTTAAATGTCATATGCCTCTCTGAAGAAATTAGCAGAAATATAAACACCCTCTCAAACAACACCATTCACTTTAGCACAGCCACGCAACAATAAAGCCATTATTATTCATGGATCAGTCCATTCCGTGGCCATGCTGTAACTGTTACATTATATGCTGTCACACGCTGTTGTTTTCTACAAATCTGTGTCAATCCATTGGTAATTTTGTTCTGTTTATTCCTGACAGATTGTCACCACTGTCCACAAAACCATGTCATACCTGGACAATACATGTTAACATTGAATCCACTAGCTGCAGACATCGGTATGAGCTTCCCATGAGAAACCGGAACCGTGAGCCACAGAGCTTGTTTTATCAAAGGAAGAAATGCCCGTCTCTCTCCTTAATACTCTGTGCAAGATGTATTATAATCACTGTAATATTAATAAACCCAGATTGTGCAATATTCACTATATTAATTACACTCACACTAGTAAACCCAGATTGTACAATATTATAGAACTAAAATGTCATTTATAACAAAACAATGTATCTTATTTACACAGACTGATTTCTAAACACATTTATTGTAGTTTAAAGACACATTACTGGGAGTATTATTGCTGTGGAGCTCCGTTATACACTCAGAGACATTACTGGGAGTACTATTGCTGTGGAGCTCCGTTATACACTCAGAGACATTACTGGGAGTATTATTGCTGCGGAGCTCTGTTATACACTCAGAGACATTACTGGGAGTATTATTGCTGTGGAGCTCTGTTATACACAGACACATTACTGTGAGTATTATTGCTGTGGAGCTCTGTTATACACACAGACACATTACTGGGAATATTATTGCTGTGGAGCTCTGTTATACACTCAGACACATTACTGGGAGTATTATTGCTGTGGAGCTCTGTTATACACTCAGACACACTACTGAGAGTATTATTGCTGTGGAGCTCTGTTATACACTGAGACACATTACTGGGAGTATTATTGCTGTGGAGCTCTGTTATACACTCAGACACATTACTGGGGGTATTATAACTGTGGAGCTCATTACTGGGGGTATTATAACTGTGGAGCTATATTATACACTCAGACACATTACTGGGACTATTATTGCTGTGGAGCTCTGTTATACACTCAGACATATTACTGGTTGTATTATTGCTATGGGGCTGTTATACACTCAGACACATTACTGGGAGTATTATTGCTGTGGAGCTCTGTTATACACTCAGACACATTACTGGGAGTATTATTAATGTGGAGCTCTGTTATACACTTAAACACACCAACAGTATGGAGCTCCTAGAAAAAGAGGGACATTGGGGGAGGGGCTGACCAACATGGCGTCTAGACATCTCTCTTGAGAGTTCCCTGAGACACGCTGCATAATCTGAACTCTTGAGCTGAATCAGCAATTATCCACAAGCGCACTGCTTACTATTAGATTTCGGAACCGACAGACTGGTCTGTGAACGTGACCCGCGGTCTCCTAAATCAATCTAGACGCAAAGCTCCAACGAGGCCCAGCTCACACTACTGGAGGGAGAGGTGGCCGGTGTTCTCTACAGCTGTACAGGCCCCAGAGAGAGTGTGCAGCTTATCGGATAGGGACACATGTATGAGTGTGGGATGGATGATGCATGATTGGCTATATGCTACGTGTGGGATGGATGATGCATGATTGGCTATATGCTACGTGTGGGATGGATGATGCATGATTGGCTATATGCTACATGTATGAGTGTGGGATGGATGATGCATGATTGGCTATATGCTACATGTATGAGTGTGGGATGGATGATGCATGATTGGCTATATGCTACATGTATGAGTGTGGGATGGATGATGCATGATTGGCTATGTGCTACATGTGGGAGTGTGGGATGGATGGTGCATGATTGGCTATATTCTACATGTGGGAGTGTGAGATGTGAGGAAGTGGGTGGTGACAAAGCAGACTGACCTCAGTGCCACTTAGGAGCCGGGCCAGCAACAAGTTTCCTGTGATCCTCCTCCTCCTGTTGTTTGGGCCTGTAGGATATTCAGCCTGTGGCATGGACATTGAGACTATGTTGTCTGCCCTCAGGGCTAGTGCAGCAGCAGTCGGAGGCCGGCAGCTCCGCGAGCAGTTTGGGCGCCTGGCGATGTGGCTCCCCCTCCCTGCCCCCTGCGGTACCCTCCCTGGGTGGCCGGTCCAGCGCGGGTCGGCGCACCTGCCCTCCGGCTCGGCTGAGCCCAACTGCCTCCCCTCGGGCGCGGTACAGGAGCCGCAGCCCGGGCCCGCGCGCAAGAACCACGTGGCACGCGGCCTGAAACGTCTCTGGCCGCCCCGGTCTTTCCCGCTGCCTCTCATGTGGGGCGCCATTCTTTGGCCAGGCGTTCAGCCCGGGTGGCGAGCGGGATGCCGCCCGGGGCCCCCACCTCACGGCCGCCGTGTGGGGAGGTTTCTTCCCCCGATTCTGGGCTCTCTGGCCCTCATGGTCCCCCCCTCCCTTCCCCCTCACTTGTTCTCCCCACTCCTGGGGGGTCAGCTGGGCGGGTGTCCCCCCTGGTCATCTCTGGGGGTGGGGGTGTCCCCCGCGGTCCCTGGGCCTCTGGGCCCCATTCAACCACCTTATCTGCCCCTCCCCCGTCCTCTGGGGGGTCCACGGGCTTAGTGGTTCCCCCCTCCTCCCCTGCTCTTGCTCCCACTCCCTTTCTCTTGTGCCCGGGGGTCCCCCCCGCCGGGTCCTCACTCCTGGGGACCTCCTCTGGGCCTCCTGCCCTCTCTCTATGTGACCTCCCCTGCTCCTCCCTTCCCTCTTTCCTACTCTGCCTTCCTCCCCCCTGTGTCCTCCCCTCCCCTGGCCACTGGGTCCCACCTGCCCCTCCACCCCCGGCTTCCTCAGGCTCTGGGTGCTGTTACTGGATCCGTCCACCAGATGGCGCCTGGAGCTCTGGTGAATATGGACACTGCTGTTCATGCCATGGAATCCTCTCCACATGTTGCTGCTTCTGCTCTGGTGCCGCCAGCAGGTCCTGGGGCACCGCCAGGTGAGTCACATGTTCCTGCGCTTGCTGGGGCGTCCACGCTGGGTGGGTTCATGTTGGGTCTGCGGGAGATTTTTTCCCAGTGGGAGCGAGGGGCGCTAGCACAGGGATCCCATGGGTTGGATGGTCAGCTGCGTTCTGTGTGGTCCCCTCCGTTGCCCCAGGCGGGTTCAGCCGCGGGAGGGGGCGCGGGTTCGGTTCCTGGCGCGGTGGTTAGCATTCATGCGACTCCGTCTCCCGTGCCCGCCACGGGGGGGTGGCGACGGGGAGGTGCTGGATAGTACAGCAGGTGTCGCTGACGTGGCTAGAGGGGCAGCATATATGTGCTGGTCGGGTCTCCTTGGCTTGCATCTAAAGCCTGAGGTCAAGGACAAGATCTGGAAAGGGGAATTCGTGGAGATATTTTCCCTGTTGCCCTTGGAGGACGCATCCTCTCTGGGGGACAAGGAGGAAAAAGAGTCAGACAAGGATAGGGAGAAGTTCCATTACAGGAAGATTCCAAAAACTTTCGGGAACTGGGTGCGGGCGTTTTCCATTTTGGCGAGCGTGATTGGGGAAAAGGCACTGCTCAGCGCTCTTTTGCTATCAGGACACCATTTGTAACGCGTGTCGGACCTATGGCGGCCTGGGTTGGTGGTGCTATGACGAACAATTTCGGCAGCGGCTCGCTGTCCGCCCCTCTATCTCGTGGGATCAGATGGACATTGGCCTGTAGCTGTCCATCATGACTCGCGCGGTGACGCACAAAGGGGGACATCGTCCTTTCTTAGGGGGGGGAGGGGGCGGTTCTGCCCCATCGGCCTCACACAGGCGGCCGGGCTGTTGTTGGAAGTTCAACGACAGCCAATGCAAGTGGGGAGCAACATGTCGTTTTAAACACGAATGCTCCCATTGCGGGGGTGCCCACACGGCATCCCGCTGCTTTAAGCGGGGTAAGTCTGGGGACAAAGGCAATGTGGGGACTAAGGGCGAAGACGCCAGTGGCCGTGGACGGGATGCGCCCCTGGCTCGGCCGTTATAGGAACCGCCGGGCCGCGGGGTTGCTGCTGGAGGGGTGTACCCAGGGGTTTTGGATTCCCTTCTCGGAGCACCCCTCCAGCGCCTGGTGCTACGGTGCCTGTGCCTTAACGTGTCTTGTAGGGCGCTGCATGTTCCGGGGGTTCACAATGTAATTGCGGATGCTTTCTCTCGTTCGCAGTGGTCGGAGTTCCGGGCAGCTGCACCCCACGCGGACGAGGATGGGTGCCAGTGTCCAGTGGAACTATGGTCCCTGGGCTCGACGGGCTGATGGACCTGGTTCGAGGGTCTGTGTCGAGTTCCACTTGGGCCAGATACTCGAAGGTATGGGCGGAATAGCTCGAGTGGGAGACAGGTCTGGGGGTTTTCCAGGATACGCCCGCTCGATTGCGGGGTTTGTTGAACACTTGGGTGTCGGCGGGCATGTCGCCTTCGGTGGTGTCCTCGCGCCTGGCTGGGCTGAGTTTTTTCTTTAAGCTGCAAGGGTGGGGGGACGTGACCAAGGAGTTTGTGGTGAGGCAGGCGTTTAAGGGGCTGTGTAGGGGTCGGGTTACGGTGGATACCCGGAGGCCGGTGTCGCGGCTGCTCCTGGCGCAATTGTGCCAAGTGCTCCCGCAGGTGTGCTTCTCGGACTTCGAGGTGCGGCTTTTTCACTTGGCCTTTTCGTTTGCTTTCTTTGGGGCCATGAGGATTGGGGAGTTGGTGTGTCCAAGCAGGGTGACCATTGGGGGAATCCTCTTCTCGGATGTCAGGGACGGGACTTGGCTGGGTATGCCGGATCAGGAGGTACAGCGAATAGGGAGGTGGGAATCCAAGAGGTTTGTCTCTTATGTGCGTCCTGCCGGTCTCCTGAGCTAGACTGTTTTGTTTTCCTCCCCAGGTTGGGTCCCCTACAAGATTGGCCACTCCTATATCCACTGGACGAGGCAGAGATCGGCAGTCCAGCCAGGGGGGGAGCGTCTCGGTCTCACACCGGTAACTGCGGAGGTACGGTGGTTCGGGGTCAGAGGCATGAGGTGGGTCCCACTCCTCCATGACTTGGTCAGGCTTTCCCGCTTGCTCGGGGCTCCATCGGTTTTGATTATCCATCTGGGGTGGTAACGATCTGGGGACCGTGCCTGTGGGGGGCTGGTGGACATGGTTAGGAGAGACTTGTCCCAGATCTTGATCTTGTTCCCCGACATATCCTTGATTTGGTCGGAGTTAGTGGCAAGGAATTTTTGGTGGCAGGCTCACAGCCAGAGTGCGCTGGAGCGCAGCCGCAAGAAGTTTAATCGGCGGATTGCGGAGTTTGTAACGGGGGTTGGGGGAATCTCGATACGGCACCAGGTTTTTGAAAAAGATGCGGTACATTTTTTTCGACCCGATGGGGTGCATCTGACGGGGGTCGGGCTCGACCTGTTTAACTTGGCGCTTCAAGAAGCTTTGGAACAGGCCATGGGGGGTTTCGGTGGGGGCCCCCGCTGATTTTAGGCTTAAAACAGCAGGGTTTGTGGTGGGGCATGTCCTTGCCAAATAAGGGAGATTAGATGAAAAGGGGGATAATGGCCGGGTCTCATCCTCCTCCTGTCTCTTATGGGGAACCTGGAGGAGGTACCAGGTTGGACGTGTCCCCACTGGGTTGTAAGTCGACCGGTGGGGAGCATTATGGTTGGGCCCCACCGAGCGGAAAACCGGCTGGTGGGGAGCCCTGAAAAGGAAGAGGTTTTATTATGCCGAGGGGGGGAGGTGAGAGCCTTGGGGAAGTTAGATTGTCAAGGACGGTTTCTTGATTACTGTATAAAAAGTGTTTATTATAATTTATTATGTTATATGTTTAAGGAGTTATACAGTATTTGGTTGTGTTAATAAATGCTGTGGCCTGTTTTCCCAAGAATTTGTCTGTCGTTATTTGAAGGTGTAAGTTGTGTTTTTTTATGGGGGATAAAGGGAATGCTATCCAATGCCCACTACGTACATAAAAGGCCCCAGGGAGAGTGCGCAGCTTATCGGACAGAGGCACATGTATGAGTGTGGGATGGATGGTGCATGATTGGCTATGTGCTACGTGTGGGAGTGTGAGATGTGAGGAAGTGGGTGGTGACAGATCAGACTGACCTCAGTGCCACTTAGGAGCCGGGCCAGCAACAAGTTTCCCGCCCACCCTCCCTTTGCTGCTTTGGGCCCGGGTGGTTGTCACAGTGAGGGCATGTCCTTGCCAAATAAGTGATGGTAGATTAGATGAAAAGGGGGATAATGGCCAGGTCTCATCCTCCCCCTGTCTCTTATGGTGAACCTGGAGGAGGTACCAGGTTGGACGTGTCCCCACTGGGTTGTAAGTCGACCAGTGGGGAGCATTATGGTTGGGCCCCACTGAGCGGAAAACCGGCTGGTGGGGAGCCCTGAAAAGGAAGAGGTTTTATTATGCCGAGGGGGGGAGGTGAGAGCCTTGGGGAAGTTAGATTGGCAAGGACGGTTTCTTGATTACTGTATAAAAAGTGTTTATGTTAATTTATTATGTTATATGTTTAAGGAGTTATACAGTATTTGGTGATGTTAATAAATGCTGTGGCCTGTTTTCCCAAGAAGTTGTCTGTCGTTATTTGAAGGGGTAAGTTATGGTTTTTTATGGGGGGATGAGGGGAATGTTATCCAATGCCCACTACGTACATACAAGCTCCAGAGCAAGCATGGGAGACCAGCAGAGAGATGGTGTGTCAGAAGGGAAGCAACTACGGGGTCCAGATATGCAGCCGATGTCTCTAGTCCTGTGCCTTCAAATACCTGCTATGTGGGACTGTACATTCCCTACAAGGGGCATAGGCTGACCACCATGAATCAATGCTGCATGATTTTGGACTGTACATTCCCTACGAGGGGGATAGGCTAACCGCCATGAATCAATACTGCATGATTTGGGACTGTACATTCCTTACGAGGGGCATAGGCTGACCGCCATGAATCAATACTGCATGATTTGGGGCTGTACATTCCTTACGAGGGGCTGACCGCCATGAATCAATACTGCATGATTTGGGACTGTACATTCCCTACGAGGGGCATAGGTTGACCGCCATGAATCAATACTGCATGATTTGGGACTGTACATTCCTTACGAGGGGCTGACCGCCATGAATCAATACTGCATGATTTGGGACTGTACATTCCCTATGAGGGGCATAGGCTGACCGCCATGAATCAATACTGCATGATTTGGGACTGTACATTCCCTATGAGGGGCATAGGCTGACCGCCATGAATCAATACTGCATGATTTGGGACTGTACATTCCCCTTACGAGGGGCTGACCGCCATGAATCAATACTGCATGATTTGAGACTGGACATTCCCTATTTGGGGCATAGGCTGACCGCCATGAATCAATAGTGCATGATTTGGGACTGTACATTTCTTACGAGGGGCTGACCGCCATGAATCAATACTGCATGATTTGGGACTGTACATTCCCTACGAGAGGGATAGGCTGACCACCATGATTCAATACTGCATGATATGGGACTGTACATTTGCTACGAGGGGCATAGTCTGACCACCATGAATCAATACTGCATGATATGGGACTGTACATTCCTTACGAGGAGCATAGTCTGACCACCATGAATCAATACTGCATGAAATGGGACTGTACATTCCCTATGAGGGGCATAGGCTGACCGCCATGAATCAATACTGCATGATTTGGGACTGTACATTCCCTACGAGAGGGATAGGCTGACCACCATGAATCAATACTGCATGATTTGGGACTGTACATTCCTTACAAGGGGCATAGTCTGACTACCATGAATCAATACTGCATGATATGGGACTGTACATTTGCTACGAGGGGCATAGTCTGACCACCATGAATAAATACTGGATGATATGGGACTGTACATTGCCTACGAGGGGAATAGACTGACCACCATGAATCAGTACTGCATGATTTAGGACTGTACATTCCCTACGAGGGGCATAGGTTGACCGCCATGAATCAATACTGCATGATTTGGGACTGTACATTCCTTACGAGGGGCTGACCGCCATGAATCAATACTGCATGATTTGGGACTGTACATTCCCTATGAGGGGCATAGGCTGACCGCCATGAATCAATACTGCATGATTTGGGACTGTACATTCCCTATGAGGGGCATAGGCTGACCGCCATGAATCAATACTGCATGATTTGGGACTGTACATTCCCCTTACGAGGGGCTGACCGCCATGAATCAATACTGCATGATTTGAGACTGGACATTCCCTATTTGGGGCATAGGCTGACCGCCATGAATCAATAGTGCATGATTTGGGACTGTACATTTCTTACGAGGGGCTGACCGCCATGAATCAATACTGCATGATTTGGGACTGTACATTCCCTACGAGAGGGATAGGCTGACCACCATGATTCAATACTGCATGATATGGGACTGTACATTTGCTACGAGGGGCATAGTCTGACCACCATGAATCAATACTGCATGATATGGGACTGTACATTCCTTACGAGGAGCATAGTCTGACCACCATGAATCAATACTGCATGAAATGGGACTGTACATTCCCTATGAGGGGCATAGGCTGACCGCCATGAATCAATACTGCATGATTTGGGACTGTACATTCCCTACGAGAGGGATAGGCTGACCACCATGAATCAATACTGCATGATTTGGGACTGTACATTCCTTACAAGGGGCATAGTCTGACTACCATGAATCAATACTGCATGATATGGGACTGTACATTTGCTACGAGGGGCATAGTCTGACCACCATGAATAAATACTGGATGATATGGGACTGTACATTGCCTACGAGGGGAATAGACTGACCACCATGAATCAGTACTGCATGATTTAGGACTGTACATTCCCTACGAGGGGCATAGGTTGACCGCCATGAATCAATACTGCATGATTTGGGACTGTACATTCCCTTCGAGAGGGATAGGCTGACCACCATGAATCAATACTGCATGATTTGGGACTGTACATTCCTTACAAGGGGCATAGTCTGACTACCATGAATCAATACTGCATGATATGGGACTGTACATTTGCTACGAGGGGCATAGTCTGACCACCATGAATAAATACTGGATGATATGGGACTGTACATTGCCTACGAGGGGAATAGACTGACCACCATGAATCAGTACTGCATGATTTGGGACTGTACATTCCCTACGAGGAGCATAGTCTGACCGCCATGAATCAATACTGCATGATAAGGTACTGTACATTCCCTACGAGGAGCATAGTCTGACCGCCATGAATCAATACTGCATGATATGGGACTGTACATTCCCTACGAGGAGCATAGTCTGACCGCCATGAATCAATACTGCATGATATGGGACTGTACATTCCCTACGAGGAGCATAGTCTGACCACCATGAATCAATACTGCATGATAAGGGACTGTACATTCCCTACGAGGAGCATAGTCTGACCGCCATGAATCAATACTGCATGATATGGGACTGTACATTCCCTACGAGGAGCATAGTCTGACCGCCATGAATCAATACTGCATGATATATCACAGTTGACTGAATGCTGTAGTGCCAAGCTCTCATTCGTTTTTTCGTTGGTTATCATTCTATACTTTTTCATTAGCCACCTGTATTGACATATCCCAGGAGTAGGCTCTAAATACAGGCTATTACTTAGTTGGGATTTTCCTAACTTGCTACTAGAGCTGTTTGGGTGATACATCTTACTGATGTCATGAAAAAGAAAATGTATAATAATAATAACGCTCCTTTTACAATGCTTGTTATTGAAATGCGTGATTATGCTGTTGTGGCATCGCATGCCAGTACTGTACTTGTATGCACAAATAAAATACAGATTGACAAAAAAAAGAAGTTAGAACAGACTGACTGTAGAACCTATAAGATTTCCTCTGTTACAGTGTTACATTCTAGTTAATCCATTAACAGCCATGGTTCCAACATTGGGGGCCCATGGGGGACTGCTAGACCCCACACGTATTCCTGGACTCACGTCGAGTCATGATTCCCCAGTGATTTCATGTTTTAGACCAACATATCTGAACTGAAAGCGTGGCTGACATGTAGAATATTCCAATCCAGTTACTTTGTTAATAAATATGAAATTCACTTCAATTTTCCCAAAATTCTGAGTTTAGTTAAAAACCCTATCAGTCTTCAATTCATCGTTAAATGAATTAACTGTATGTGATAATCCCATCATTTTAAAGACGTGGGGGCAAGATCCCAGAAATCTTACTCTGAATTCTGACTTTTTAAGCTCAGCACTCGGAAACACACGTACTTAACCCCAGACTCTACGAGACGTCACGTCCTTATTATCCCAAATGACGTATTTAGGAAACAATATCATAATAATATCTGACTCCACCCCCACTGCTGTTATGCAACGGCAGGACATTATGCAGGCCTAGAGCGTCCAGGATAGCCAATGGGTGACATCAGAAATCTTGTTGGAGCAGACTAAGCGTGCCTAAGGGGTCTGTACCCAGAAAATGGGGGATTTTGATGTGTTTACTAAAACACACCTAAACGTTAGTCTTTACCTCGCCATTAGATTATTTATATTATTACAACACTGAGCCCACAATGGACCCTCCGTTTTACGCCATTATTACCCTGGTATTGGGAAATTACCCCTAAATGGAACAGCGTCTGATAGGCCACTTTTCAAGGATTGTTCCAGTAAATCGATTTCTAACAGCGACCCTACACATTAATAGCGCTTGTTCCAGGATAAAACCCGGCTGCTGAACGTCATGTCTGGAGTTCAATGAAATTCGTATCATGACGGGATTCTGGGAAATAAACATGGGGAGATTGGGGCAATGGTGGTTCCTCAGTGCTGAAACACTAAATAATAAGGATGGACATCTCTGGCCTCGGAATCAATGTCTCTTGTAGGGGGGCTGTGACCTTCACCCGTCCCAGGGCTTCTTTAAACATCTGTACAACCTCATCTTATCCCTACTTCAGTAGAGGTGATTTCATTTCATTTAGCACAGTTGTGTTAGTTTATGATATCCCCCCAATAACACAGGTTACTTAGTCCATGCTCTCCCTGCTTTAGCACAGTTGAGTTAGTTCATGATATCCCCCCCAATAACACAGGTTACTTAGTCCATGCTCTCCCTGCTTTAGCACAGTTGAGTTAGTTTATGATATCCCCCCAATAACACAGGTTACTTAGTCCATGCTCTCCCTGCTTTAGCACAGTTGTGTTAGTTTATGATATCCCCCCCCCAATAACACAGGTTACCTAGTCCACGCTCTCCCTGCTTTAGCACAGTTGAGTTAGTTTATGATGTCCCCCCAATAACACAGGTTACTTAGTCCATGCTGTCCCTGCTTTAGCACAGTTGAGTTAGTTTATGATGTCCCCCCAATAACACAGGTTACTTAGTCCATGCTGTCCCTGCTTTAGCACAGTTGAGTTAGTTTATGATATCCCCCCAATAACACAGGTTACTTAGTCCACGCTGTCCCTGCTTTAGCACAGTTGTGTTAGTTTATGATGTCCCCCCAATAACACAGGTTACTTAGTCCACGCTCTCCCTGCTTTAGCACAGTTGAGTTAGTTTATGAT